CATATTCTTGATCAGGTTCACCTCCTGAGTTGTAACTTGGTAAGTTGTAACTTGGTAAGTTGTAACTTGGTACGGATTCTATCTTTGGTCATTTGATCCGACCTACCAAATTTCATAACGAAAGGCCGACTATATCTCTAGCTATAGCTATACCATATAACTGAACGATCGGAAATGGTATTTGGTGTTTAGTAAATATAGCAACTTTGGTTTTTTTTAAGATAGAAGTTTAGGACTTTTTTTAATTTTTATATTGTAATACATTTTATGAAATTTTCATAATGATCGGCCAACTATTTTGGCGATATATATCCGGTTGTAACAGCAAGGGTATATTAACTTCGGCTCCGCCCGAAGTTAGCTTTACTTTATTTTTTTTTCTTAATAGTGTTATCTGCAGATCGGTACCTCCAAAGATCGAAAGTTATGTGGCAATCGACCCAAAAGGTACAAAAGGCAACTTTGGTAGGCAGGACTCCAGACGGAAGAGCAGTATTCAAGGAAAAAACGAACTAGAAATAGCAAAAGAATTATTTTTGTACAAAAATCGTCCAACTCATTTGACCATCGCTTTATAAATGTTTAAAAAACTTTAAAACAAATAAAATAAAAAATATTTAAAAAACAAGAGAGGAAAGCTAACTTCGGGCGGAGCCGAAGTTTATATACCCTTGCAGTTAAAACCGGATATATATCGCAAACATCGGATATAGTTGGCCGATCCTTATGGTAATAGGAATATATAATCCAATTTTTTACAATACAAAATCTAAAAAAAGGCCCAAACTTCTATCTTCAAAAATACGAAAGTTGATATTTCTACCAAATACCATTTCCGATCGTTCAGTTATATGGCAGCTATAGGATATAGTCGGCCGATCCTAATGAAATTTGGTAGGTCGGATCAACTGACCAAATATATAATCTTTACCAAGTTCCAGCTTTAAAAAAATCTATAAAAATTATGGCTAAATTAACAGTCAATTTAGACACAAATAAATTTAAAGAAGCTCAGAAATTTTCTTCGGAGATTCCATTATTCAAAGTGAGTTAATTTAGATAAATTTTTTTTCCTTTCATTAAGGTATTTTCGACAAAGAAAAAGATAAAACCGTTCAATTCTGTTGAACCCAATTTATCCAACTCACCGGCCTAAAAATAAATAACACAGTGCGACAAAAAAAGAAAAGTTGGAGGAACTTTTGAAGAGACCTAGTAGGAATTGTTCATTAGGTCGAGTATAGTATAAAACCATGTTTGAAATTTTTCATACACCCTCAAATCTTGATTTATTTCGAAAAAACGGTTTTTCGAAAGTGTTTTGCTCTTAAAAAAATCCATTGTCTCATTAATAATAAACAAGAAAGATTTTAACTAGAAGATTTAAGTGACAATGAACAAGAATAGAAAGTTAACTTCGGGCGGAGCCGCAGTTAATATATCCTTGCAGTTAAAACCCGATATATATCGCAAACATCGGATATAGGTGGCCGATATTTATGAGAATAGCATAATTGGAAGAGTCATAATTGAATATCATAATTGCGAAGTTAACTTTCCTTTCTTGTTGTTCATAAATTTGTTAAGATTCCTTAACTATAGTTTTCTACAAATATTTCCTTTTTTTCTACAATGTTAAATCAGTGGTGCCCGAAAGCCTATCCCATGAGGTTGGAAATCTCTCTGCCCGGCTTCTGCCTGCACACCGACACTTTTAACATTGTAAAATGTCTGTATATGTTAGTGTGCTTACTATGGGGCCAACAACCACTTTTTGTGGCCTAAAATAACCAGTAAATCAAAAGAGATTTTTCACTGATTTTTTTTTTTTTTAAAGGTATTAAAAACGTCAGTAATTTGCTTTTCAAACCTTGTGGATTTTACTGGTGATAACAGTGTCATTTAACAGAGTATAGCTTAACAGTGGCTTATTCTTTTAACCTTTTTATATAAAACATTAAAGCTTAATGTTATCTTTGGGTAATGACGTCATTAGATCCTTATTTTAAGGACTTTTAAAAAATGACTTCTGGTCACAAAAAGTAGTTGTAGTAGTGGTTCGGGAAAATTCTACGTATCCGAACACTGAGGCAAGTCTGACACGTCAATGTATTTGTGTGGGTACCACTGAATTAAGCCCATATCCCCATTAGAAAATTAAAACCTATTTCATTTGAATGCCAAGTCCATTTAAGGTTAGAACAAATAATAACGATACAAGTTTTTTAAATTTTAACCCTTTACATGGCAATAACTCCGATTTTCTTGATTTTTTTTTGTTCGGTAGATAAGTGAAAATAAAAAATACACTTATTTTTATTTTTTTTTTAAGGTTGGTTTTTCTTAATTTTTTTTACAAAAAGCAAAAAAAACCGATTTTTTAAACTTAGCGAAATTAATGATTTAATTGTATTATAATGCAACAAACACAAAAACTCAATAATATACAACTAAATATAATATTTTCCTGTTTTTAAACATTAATTGAATCAATTATATAATTTTTTTTGTTTTTTATATTTTAGATCAGAAACTGCACAACCAATTCAGATTACCACATTCACCAAATTGGCGGGGAAAGTAATCACCTGTTGAGTATTGGACAGAATTGTGAGTGATCAACACTTTTTATATAAAAAATGAAAGTTGCTGAACTGCATCAAAAAGATTTTGGACAGTTTTGTAACGCAGTTTGATAAATAATTGAATTTAAACGGTATGATGCAGATCTGCATCACCACCATGTAAAGGGTTAAATTTTTTCAATTTTAAACATGATATAAATAAAGCATTATTAAATGAATAATAAAAGCCCAGTCTATGTACTCAACGAGCAGTCTGAAATCTTTGTATGTAAACTTTTAAAATTTCAGCGAATACATTATTAATTTTTAAATACAGTGGTAAAAGTGTTTTTATACCCTTGCAGAGGGTATTATAATTTTGGTCAAAGGTGTGCAACGCAGTGAAGGAGACATCTCCGACCCTATAAAGTATATATATTCTTGATCAGGATCACCTCCTGAGTTGATATGAGCATATCCGTCTGTCTGTTTCTACGCAAACTAGTCTCTCAGTTTTAAGGCTATCGACTTGAAACTTTGCACACACCCTTCTTTCCTTTGCACGCAGTATATAAATCGGAACGGCCCGGATCGGCCGACTATATCCTATAGCTGCCATATAACTGATTGATCGGAAATGGTATAACGTTGGTGTTTTTAAAGTTAGAGAGTTCAAATTTTAGGTGAGAGCTATTTTTGGCAAAATAATACGACACGCCAAATTTTGTAAGGATTGGCAGACTATATCCTATAGCTGCCATATAACTGAACGATCGGAAATGACCCAACTTTCGTGTTTTTGAAGATAGAAAGCTGGAACTTGGTACAGATTATATATTTGGTCAGTTGATCCGACCTACCATTTCATTAGAATCGGCCGACTATATCCTATAGCTGCCATATAACTGAACGATCGGAAATGGTATTTGGTAGAAATATCAACTTTCGTATTTTTGAAGATAGAAGTTTGGGCCTTTTTTTAGATTTTGTATTGTAAAAAATTGGATTATATATTCCTATTCCCATAAGGATCGGCCAACTATATCCGATGTTTGCGATATATATCCGGTTTTAACTGCAAGGGTATATAAACTTCGGCTCCGCCCGAAGTTAGCTTTCCTTTCTTGTTTTTGTTATGTTAAGTCTTCTTTAGTCAGTCAATGCCAGGCCCACCTCCAAAAAGTGGTACTTGCACTTTTCCAAAACCGTATAGCGTTATAGCGTGTAGCGTTTCATGTTGCCCTCGAGTCAAAACACAGTGCATGCCACATTCCCCTCAACGTCACGCAGCTCGACGCACAATTAGACAAGAACTTGAAAAGTTTCAAGAACTCGAATGGTTAACTTGAGGCAAAGTCGAAGTTTCTATACCCTTGGATCCTTTAAAAATAACTAAGTTACTTTAAAATTGATAAAATACAAATGGTTTCTCTTGCCTTATTCTTGCCTCTAATTAAAAATCTATTTATGGCGGACGAAGTGTATAAGGATAGTAGTTTAGTTGGAAAAACTTTTTAAGATTGAACAATGAATAAAAATATATAGTTTTGAAGATCAATGAATAAAAATACACAACTTAGTTTCGTTATAAGGTGGTACATTTTTTTTTCGGTCTCTTATGATCCCTTTTTTTCAAGCTGCGCTTCATTTAAAAACCAACGTGTTTAAATAAAATACCACGTTGATTAGACTTCAACAAGGACCCTATAGATATGTATTCTCTTGTCAACAAACATCAAACAGTGGTTTCTTATTCTGTAGGAGCCGAATAATAAGAATTTTTATGTGGTGTTCGTATTGGTTGACAAAAGAGCTTTGGATTTCAAGTGGTCCCCTTGGCCCACATTCTTGAACTCTGCAACTGAAATGCGCTTCGTGTGACCTTTTTTTGTAAACAACATATTTAGGTGAACAAAATTGCACGGTGAACAATGCCAACAGTCAACAATGGGATAAGATGCATTTAATCGTCCAAAATTGTAAAGGGTTTCAACTCCTTAAAAGTATTCTTCTTGAACCTTTCAATTCAAATATATATGTACGTAAGAAGTGCGAGTGCCAGTAACGTCATAAAATATAACTATAATATAACTGTAATATAACTAACTATAAATATAACCATAAAAATACTTTTAATTAATGAGTTTCTTTTTTTTAGGTTTGAAAAAGACACGTTTTGGTTTTCAATTATTGGATTGCAATTGAATGAATGAACCCTATTTTCAAATGTGACTCATCGGGAATGGAAAATAAAGGTCTGTCTTGGCCCTTGTATTAGCCATCGAATGCTTTTGGCCGAAATGCAGACGTTGGTGTCTGTAAATGAAACCAGCTGCCAGCCATTCCAAATGAGAATTACAAATTTATGATGGAAGACGGTTCCCCGGGGAAGCGACCTCCCTGATTCAAGTTAAAGGGGAAGGAACGAAAACTTACCAGAAAGCACCGACGTCGTTTCTGGTTTTATTTACGGGAGTTGATGTTTTTGTTGCTAGAGCTGGATGGAGATGCGTAGAAGACTGCCTGTGAAAGATGGAGATAAGTAGAGGGGAAAAGAGGGATATAGAAGAGTTGGTAAGGCAGGAGCAGAGAAGCCGTCGCCATGTTAACCTTAATTAAATGTTTGGCTTTTGAATAAACATTAATTGTGGCACCCACGCTTCGGGGGGCAACGGGGCCAGCTGCAGAGCGCAGTGCAGCTGATACACACAATTGTACACACATATGCACTCGCTTTTTCGGCTCTCTTAGTACTTCCCAGCTTCAAACTTCGTTTATAGCGACAATTTCGTGATGTCGCTGATTGAGGGGCACTTCAACAAAGAAGCTCACGAAGTGCTCTCTATTTGAAAGCAGTGAATAGTCTCACTAACAAAGGACCGTCTTGCTGGAGTATCGAAATCAATGAGGCCCGTGAATAATGTCGATTTCGCACGCATTCTCGGCTTTTGTTGTGAATTGGTTTGGCTATAACATAAACATTGCTGGGGTCTGGCCCCCCAGGACAGATGGCATTTTTGCTGGAGGAAGCGACGCGCTGGATAAACGGAAGCTTTGGCTGCCAATACCGTTATTGATTTTTTACGAAGCATGTTTTGGGTACTGGTTCAGCTGCTTCTTGCTCTGCTAGTGGGACTGCCGCAAGACGTGTGGCAAAGGCAAAGCGATTGCCCAAGTGCATTCATAGACAGTTTGTGCAGATGGCGCAGGAGGGGGAGCAGCTGGGGAGCAAGCCTAAGACAGAACTAAATGAGAGAGAGAGAGCCAATAGAGCTGAGAGAAAAGGAAAAGCCAAAAAGGCCTGAACAAAAACGAGTTAGGAAGCAAACAACGGTCAAGACAATGCGTCGTAGGCCAAGAAAAGATAATGTCAGAAGCAGAAAGAACAGCCACAGCCGCAGCAATAATTACAAAAGCAGCAGCCAGGCGGGCGTTTTCTTCTGTTATATTATTTTGGAAAAATCTGGGGCTGGACTTGAAATTTACTTTCCTTTTAAAAGCTGCGGCTGGTGGTCAGTTACCCAATCTCTCATATAGTTGGAGCTGCCTTCTTTGCGCGCGCGCATTTCTTAAAAAAGGACAAAGCAACGGAAAGGGCTAAGGCACACACAGAAAACTTTATTTTTATTTTAAAAGAACTGGTTACCACAAAAAAAATTTAAAAAAAAACTTTACAACAAGCACGTTGCGTTTGTATTATTTTTTTATTTAACGGCTTTCGACACGACGACTTCACTGTGATGCTACCGCTTCTCTCAGTTCAGCAGTTCCGATTGGTCCAATTCAGTCCAATTGGTTTTGGTTTGTTCTCTGTTCTCAACGAATTGCAGTCACAGCGCGCGACTGCTTGCGCTTGCCCGGTTCGTACTTAACCGCCCGGTTTACTTTGTCGCTTGGTTCGCGAAGAAGTGCAGACAGACGAAGCTATTGTGTGACCAGAGTGCTGCAATGACAATTTAGTCGCTGCACAAATAATGACGGTATTTTTCGATTTACCATTCAAAACGCATGATGATGTAATAGCCGGAACTTCAGTTGTACTATTGTAGAAAAACTGTGAAATTCGCATTGATGATACACAAATATATTCATGTTTACAAATGTATTTGATAAAAGCTAAGAAAAATAACCAAAAAAACAAAAAATAAATTATATTATGGACAAGGTCAGTAATGACGTTTTATAAAGTCCGAAGCATGTTGTATATAATTTTTTTTGTTCAGAAAGTTATTTTAAAATCTTGGTGTTATTTTCAACCACCACCGCTTTTCTTCCAATATATTTAATTTATTATTTAAAATAAATGCTGCACGGTCACACTTAAAATTAACTATGGGGGCTCGTTTTTGACAGGGTCAGATCGAAAAAAATATACCAGAAATGTACAGAGGCATGCCAACCGGTACCAAAGAATGTTATACAGGTTTCTTGCGAAAAGATAGAAAATTTTTAATTGTTCATCTCGTTTGTCACGGTCAGTTATATGCTTGATATACGACATTTTTGGATCTTTTTTTGTTGTAATAATGTAGAAAATCAAGGTAAAATTGCTAAATGCGATGAGCTAAAAATCATAGATCTAATTAAATTAGTAGAAATCCTTCTCGTCATTTTTGATTTGTGAGACAAGACATATTTTGATACCAATTTTATGGCATCATTTGCGAAAATTTAAGCCTAGTACTGAGTTGACGAAAATCCGCTGTCCAACGAGTGACAGCTGTCAAACTCCATATAAAAAAAACGGTGGAAAAAAGGAAAGAAGAAGAAATTTTTGCCTGCTAGATTTTGCGGGTACTGAGTTGACGAAAATTTTTGTTATCGATGTTTATCGTGTTGCCGGATCAAAAAAAATAAACAGCTGCTCTCGGGGAGGTAAAATAAATAGTTCAAATTATTTGTGTAGGAGCGACATGGAGGGTCAATTGACCAAACAAAAAAATAGTCGGCCCGAAACATTTTCGACGCGCCAGGACAAATTAAAATGAATTTCTGCGGTCAAGACGAAGCCCATATGAGATTTGACCCACAAGGGGCATTTTTTTTTTTTTTTGTATTAAGTTACTTCTATCCAGGAAATTGGGGAAGATTTATTTGGCCGTCCCGAAGGGGCATTTTAATGCCATAAAATGGCATTGAAATGATTTGTGATTGATTTGGATTTTGATTTTGACCCAGTTTTCTATTTCTTAATCAGCTCCTTAGCGGCGAAATACATAAACAAAACACCAACATCCAATCGTTTTGAATTCATTTTTGCTTATTTGTTTTTTGTTTACAAACAACAGCTGTTCAGTATTACCTTATTTCTTCATTGTTTTGGTCACACTACCTCGGCAGCCGAATAAAGTGCAATTTCGCAAGCGGAATTTCAAGAGCGGATTTTCGTCAACTCAGTACTAGGCTTTAAACAAAAATAAAAGTTTTAATTTGACCAAAAAGTATTTTTCTTCCAATAACGCACGGATTTTATATTTACACGATTTGTCGTTCTAACTTTTTTTTTTGTATTTATTTTAGCTGTTTTGAAGTGATCAAACAATATTAATATTATACCTTTAACAAACTGTGCCTTGGGCTTTCAAGCCTAGTACTATGACGACGAAAATCCGATGTCACACGTGTGCTAGCGAAATCGCTCTTTTATTTGGCTACCGATCTAGTGTGACCAAAAAAATTAAGGAAAAGGGTAATACTGAACAGCTGTTGTTTGTAAACAAAAAACAAATAAGCAAAAATGAATTCAAAACGATTGGATTTTGGTGTTTTGATTGTGTATTTCGCCGCTAAGGAGCTGATTAAGAAAAAGAAAACTGGGTCAAAATCAAAATCAATCACAAATCATTTCAATGCCATTTTATGGCATTACAATGCCCCTTGCGAGTCAAATCCTATATTATGGGCTTCGCCTTGACCGCACTAATTAATTTTAATTTCTCCTCGCGCGCCGAAAATTTTTCGGGCCGACTATTTTTTCGTTTCATTAATTGTCCCTCCATGTTTCACCTATAGAAATAAATAAAATTGTTTCTTTCTACTCCCCGAGATCAGCTGTTTATTTTTTTTGATCCGGCAACACCATTCAAATCGATAACAAAAATTTTCGACAACTCAGTACCCGCAAAATCTAGGAGGCAAAAATTTCTTCTTCTTCCTATTTTTACACCGTTTTTTTATATGGAGTTTGACAGTTGTCACTCGTTCGACAGCGGATTTTCGTCAACTCAGTACTATGCAGCTGACTCTTGTCAGCTGATGGACCCGAGCTTTTAGCTGCCAAAAAGCTTTGTGCGCGATTTCTACAGAAGAGCTTTCGTAACCAATCAAACTCCGACTTAGTTCAGCTCTTGATTACTAACGTGTGCAAATGAATCGAATTGGCAACAGCAATTGACTACTAGAATCGGTGCAGTACTCCATTGGGTTCCGGCATGCAAGCGCCCATCTCCGACTGGCAGGAAAAACTGTGAAAATCTTAAGGAACACCTATCAGCGCCCACGCAGCAATGTCAACAGAGAGCAACACGCCCGTGGATCCGAGGGTGCAGGTACGTAGGTGGTGCATGACCATGTGTACCTGGCCATTCCCATTGGCTTGATAACACAGCTCATCCCTTGGAGAACCACAGGTCGAACTGGAGAAGCTGAACACTGCCACCGACAACATTAATCGGTACGAGGTGGAGCTCGACGTAAGTAGCGACTATTGATTTTTCCCCCCATCGAACATTCACCCGATTCTCAAATCGTAAAACTCAACTCCCAATCTCAAGGAGGCCAAGTGCGAGTTCAAGCGCCTGCTGGCGGAAAGCGTGGTGCGGATCAAGGCCTCCGCCCACAAGCTGGGAAACTCCATTGACGCCGCCAAGCCCTACTACGAGTCCCGCATCTACGCCGCACAACTGGCCAAGGAGACGCAGCAGGCGGCCGCTGGCCATGAAAAGGCCAAGTCCATCCATGCTGCCGCCAAAGAGATGGTCTATCTGGCCGAGCAGGGTCTCGGCGAGAAGGCCACGCTGGACACCGCCTGTCAGGAGATGCTCAGCCACGCAGCCAGTAAAGTGAACCAGTCCCAGCTGGAGGTCACCGACACCAGGAACACCCTCAAGATGTGCCAGCTTAAGCTGGAGGTGGCCAACAATAGGGTCGGCAAGCTGCAGGGCCAGCTCAAGCAGGCCCTGCGTGCGTCCAGGTAAGATTATAAGTTTCTTCAAAAGGCACTTCTCTGTTTTGGTTATCGTTTTTAATAAATTAACTTTTGAGATCTTTTACTTTCTCTTTTATATTCTGTTTTATGTTTTTTACATAAAAATTATATGTATACTTAATGTAGTAACCGTACAGTAAATATGCAGTATGCTTGTCAAAATTAAATACAGTTCTTTATTCAAAATAATAATGAGTTGAAAAATTTAAGGTAAAAGCAGTGTAATTAAAAATCACAAATAACGTTTAACGGTTTTTGGAATGTTTTCCCCCAAACGATACATTTTTTGCCAATTCAAAATTTAATATAAAATAATTCAATTATTGATTTAATTTTAATAAATGATTTAGTTAATATTGTTAAATGTATGACTTCTAACTGATGTAAACTGAAAAGATCAAAAGTTTTTTAAGTTGAAATAGAACATTCTTGTTTTAGCCGAGATAATATAATTTTAAATAATATTTAAATCATTTAGTTGACCCTATATTTTGGACCTTTTATTTTAATATTTTTTTTTATTATATCTTTTGGTTGTTTTGTTTATTTTCATGGTGAATTTTGGATCTTCTTTCGTTGGCTCTTTACGGTTTTGTTTATTTAGATTGCAGCTCAAGAGCAATTTACTATTATTGAGATATTTTAGCATAATGCACGCTTTGTATTGTACACTATGTTCGTGAGTATGGCCCCCGTACAAGCAAATATACGCTGATCCACTAACCGGAATATTTCCGCTCCAAACTTACCCCACAGGCCCTACTACGAAACACGAGCGAACTACAATGGACTCCTGAAGGCCCAGAAGACGCGCATTAACGAGCTGGAAGCGAAGGTCAGTGCGGCGAAGCTCACCTACAACGAGGCACTCAAGAACCTCGAGCAAATCTCCGAGGACATCCATCGCCAGCGCCAGCAGCGCAACAACCTGCTTAACTACGAGGCCATGCTTCGGCAAGTCGACGCCGTTGACGCACTGACGGCGTGCCTAAAATCCGATGCGGATGCGACCCCCCAGGCACGGGACGGGAAGGCGGAGCCCGAGGAGGAGGAAGAGTACCTGCGCATGCCGGAGCGCCTGGGCGGCAATCCGGCCACTTCGTCCCGCGAATCGCGCTCTGATCCGCACGACTGTCCGCACTTGCTGTCGGACTTCGATGCGGTGCTCACCTTTCCGCAAAAGTTGGCGGGCGGGATGCATAAGTCAGCCAGTACTAGTGCAGCTGACCGGGATTCCGGGTCGTTTTCGGCCCATGCCCAGGGACTGCACGCGGCCTACGAGGTCAAGCTCAGCTCCCAGGCTGGCAGTGGCTCCCTGGAATCTGCCTCCGGCTCGGTGTCTGGCGCGGCAGCTCCGGTGGACAACGACATCGATCAGTGGACGGAGATCCGATTGTCGCACTCGGACAGCACTAGCTCCAGCTACTCGAACCAGTCCCTGCTGGATCAGCATGGCCTGGACTGTGCGACTGGCAGCGGCCTCGGCAGTTTCGAGCAAGGCCGAAGTCATTTCGACGCGGACAGTCAGTCACAGAACTCAACCTCCTCTTCGGACGAGCCCAAGCGTAAGGTGACGTGCACCACGATATTCCAGGACGACAACGGCGGCTCCGGGATGCAACAGATGAGCCGTAAGGCGAGCCTGAGCCAGTGGCTGTCCCGCTCCAATAGCTTCAAGAGCGGCGGTCGGCGTCAGAGCCTGGACCTGCTGATCGACGCTGGTGATAAAGTGAAAGACGTGTTCAGCTATGGATTCCAGAGGGTGGGACGCACCCTGGAGCGGCGAAACAGCGAGTCGGAGGTTGCTGGCGAGGGAGGCGCTGAAGGTGAAGCTCTTCTAGGCGGAGGCACTGTGGCTGCCATGACGATATCCAGTGGCAGTGGCGCAACCACCGGCGGAGGCGGTGCTCTTGGAGGAGGAGGAGGAGGCAGCAGCTCCAGTGGGGGTGACTTTTTCCTCTTTAGCAGGTCAGTAGACAGTGGCGGGGAGAGCGGTGGTGGTAGGAATGGCGGTGGCAGTGGTCGCAGTCTGCTCAACTCACTGCAGAGCCGCCTGACCCGGCTCATTTGAGTCATTAAGAATTAGCCACAGTCAAGAATAGCAACCAACTTACCAACCAACCCCCCCACCCACTTAACCAACCAACCAACGACGATCATCCAGTTCCAGCGCAACTTTTGCACCCATCTATCCACCAAATAATCGTACTGCAACTTAAACCGCAACATCAACTACAAGCGCAAAATTTTAAATCGATATAAATTGGCTGGTTTAATTTGGTCTCTGCTTTTGCTACTTTGATTCCCATAATTATATCTTCCACTACTAACTTCAACATCAACTACTACTGCTACTACTACTACAACAAAAACAATAACAACAAAAACAACAGCAACTAAAATAATAATAATAATAATGATAGTAACAACAACAGCACGAACGCACACTCGCTTTATCCAAAAATTCTGTATGTACTGCTCAAAACGAAAATTCAAATCCGAAAAGTATCTGTTGTATTTAAATGTCCTCCCTAACCGTATACCAATCAGTGTGTTCTATAATTTTGATGCTTTAAAATTATGCTTCACCATTTTCATATTTAATTCGTGCATATAACATTTAATGCATATAACATTACTGTTTTTAATACAAGGTACTTCTAGTTAATTTTTTTAAACATTAATTAATTATTTTCTTATTTTCCAATTTTTCTTATTTTTCCTTTTTTTTTTTTTTTGCAAGAAACTTTGGCTTTGACAAATTAAAAACCTTTTTTATCTATATTATTTATGAATTATATTATTATTTCTATTTATTTTAATTTTCAGAGTCTTTCTCAATATTTAAGCTAAAAGTCATTTCTGCAGCATGCTTTACAAAAAATAGCTTTCTATGTATGTGTTCTTTTATTTATCCTCTAGATTTTCTTGACAGAATAATTCTACACAAAAGAGGGAAGCTAACTTCGGGTGGAGCCGAAGTTGATATGCCCTTGCAGTTAAAACCGGATATATATCGCTAAAATCTGATATAGTTGGCAGATCCTTATGAGAATATCATAATATAACCAATTTATTACAATACAAAAATCCCAAACTTCTATATTTAAGAACACCGAAGTTGGTATTTTTACTAAACACCAAATAAAATTTCCGATCCTTCAGTTATGTGGCAGCTATAGGATATAGTCGGCCGATCCTTATGAAATTTGGCATGTCGTAATAAATTGGCATGTCGCTATTTGCAAAAAATAGATCTCGTGTAAAATTTGAACTCTCTAACTCTAAAAAAACCAAAGTTATAGAATTTCCGATCCATCAGTTATATGGCAGCTATAGGATATAGTCGACCGACCCCGGCCGTTTCGACTTATAAACTGCGTGCAAATAAGGGTGTGTGCAAAGTTTCAAGTCGATAGCTTTAATACTGAGAGACTAGTTCGCGTAGAAACAGACAGACAGACGAACAGACAGACATGCTCATATCAACTCAGGAGGTGATCCTGATCAAGAATATATATACTTTATAAAGTCGGAGATGTCTCCTTCACTGCTTTACACACTTTTGGACAACATTATATAGGAATACCCTCTGCAAGGGTATAAAAAGTTTGTTCCGAGCTCTTTTCAAACTTTAAGTTATAAAAACCAAAGTATACTAGCTAGTCAAAATGTATGGGCCTATTTCTTTAAAAAGAATTCAAACCTAAATTTGGATTGCGTTCAAATTCATATTCAAATTCCGACAAATTGAAATTTTTATTTTCAGATTTTATATTTAGTCAAATTTTTATATAGTCAGATTAGGTTTGCGATTTAAGGTGGTAAAATTTTCTACCTAATCAAATGACCTAGTCTGTTTAATGTTATAACTCCAACTTGGCACTAACTTAACCTTTGTTTCTGTTTTATGCAATCGCTGTCTTCTCGCCGATCACTGTCGTCTAAGCTTTGTGTTTTTATCAAAGAGAACCTACATGATAATATACAAAACATTGCAGATCGTCAGAACCCAAAGAACTGTTGTCCGATGAGCAGGTCGAGAATTTACTGTTGAATCACACAGTGGATGAAAACGGTGTCATTATAGTGGAGGAACTCAAGTCGCCAACGACTATAACAACACACCAATTCCAGCAATATCAAGACAAACAACATTTTCAGAAGCAGCAGAAACAGCAACAGCAACATCAGAAAAACCAGCAGCAACAGCAGGCGCTAAACGTGGAAGGGGCTTTACTGTTTTAACACAAACGTTTGATCCATCTGGGAGGACATTGAATTGGACATTAGCCTAGTATAAAAGAGTCCTACATCACACCTACACCCTCACACTTACAGCTACACCACTAACATGGCAATATTTTACTTTATGAGTACCCTTGCGTAAAGCACCATAGTCGGAAGCGTAGCGTACATATCATTGGACACATCAACCACAGACCCCAGGCGTCGTGAGGAACTATTAATTGTTAAACAGTGGAAAACTGTTCTAACTTATATGTGCAATAATTTATTATTTTTAGAGACTTATAAGGGACTTGCATAACTTTATGATGTTGAAAAATTTAATTTAAAACTAATCATTAAACGAAAAATCAGTAGACTTAGTGTGTTAGCTAAATATTCATTGAGACCCACAAATACTTCAGATTGTACAAAAAAATAATTTTAATAAATAATAATGCGCAAGAATCAAGTAAGCCAAGGACACTTGGCATCCTATAGGGTAAGAGGCATCCCATCTTAATCGCAATTGTTAAGGAATATTACAAAATAAAACTAATTTATTCACGGTCCTCGTAACTTTCTTGTAACTCTTGTGCGTATGAAAGAAAATGTTGAATATAAAAATTAATACCTGCATACAACTACATTCTATAACTTATTTGTTGTGTCTTGTGGGACTAGTCTTCCGCCAGGAAATTCTGACTATTTTGGGATTAACCTTTTTGGAAATTTATGCTAAAAGGTATTGCCGCCTTTATTTTGCATCTATGCTAGTTCAAAGACTACAAACTGTCAAAAAAATTACTCTTTTTAGGAACGAATCGCGTAGCTACTGCACCCTCTACGCGTTTATACGGGCAGATGGACATGGGAATATCGACTCGGCTGTTAATGCTGATAAAGAATATATACATACATATACTATAATGGGTGTACAAGTAGAAAACCGCCGTTTTTCATAAATTTTGGCTTTATTGCGTATACATAGCTAAAATTGATTGCTGAGTCACACCCATCCAGCAAAGCCTCCAAATCCGTGTCTTCAAACTTTTTCACAGGACCCGGTCGGTCCTTGTCTTCCACGTCATACTCGCCATTTTTCGACCAAGATATAGTCGACCGATCGTTTTGAAATTTGGTAGGTCGTATTAACTGACCAAAAATATAATCTGTACTAAGTTATATCACTAACCATACAGCATATAGACAACCCATTTCATACAACGAAAATGGACGCAAAAATTTCTTGCGACAGGCCCCAGCAGGCCCCAGAGCGGATTTCTCCATATAAAAAAAAACGGTGTAAAAAAGGGAAGAAGAAGAAATTTTTGCCTTCTAGATTTCGGGTACTGAGTTGACGAAAATTTTTGTTATCGATTTTAATGGTGTTTGCCGGATCAAAAAAAAATAAACAGCTGATCTCGGGGAGTTAAAAGATATAATTGCATTTACATATTTCTATAGGTGTGACATGGAGGGTCAATTGATCAAACAAAAAAATAGTCGGCCCGAAACATTTTCGACGCGCCAGGACAAATTAAAATTAATTTCTGCGGTCAAGACGAAGCCCATAATATGGGATTTGACCCACAAGGGGCATTTTAATGCCATAAAATGGCATTGAAATGATTTGTGATTGATTTTGATTTTGATTTTGACCCAGTTTTCTTTTTCTTAATCAGCTCCTTAGCGGCGAAAAACATAAACAAAACACCAACATTCAATCGTTTTGAATTCATTTTTGCTTATTTGTTTTTTGTTTACAAACAACAGCTGTTCAGTATTACCTTATTTCTTAATTTTTTTGGTCACACTAGCTCGGTAGCTGAATAAAGTGCAATATCGTTATCGGATTTTCAACAGCGGATTTTCGTCAACTCAGTACTATGCTTTATATGGCAGCTATAAGATAGTCGGCCGATCGCTATGAAATTTAGTTGTTCATCTTGCAATTAATATCGGATATATATATCGAAAATAAAGCATATAGTATATAGCATTTCCGATCATTTAGTTATAATGACATATAACTAGCGCATAGTAGTCGCTAGTAATTGAAACTGGCTCACTATCGATACCTTTCCTGACTAACTTATCCGTTCCGCGACAACAACTTTTAATATCGTATTTATAAAAAGCATTTTTGAATCCAAATCTAAGGGTTAATTCATATTACAATTGTTTATTGTAAATATATTTAAAAAACAAAAATAAAATATCGATATATTTATATAAAAATAATAATATTAATAATAATAATAATAAAATGTATGTAACTTGTACTCTAACTTCCAACAGGTTCTCTTATTTATTATTCGAAAAGTTTTTTATGAAATATATTCTGAATTGCCAAAAATCTGAAATAGTGGTTTCGAGATTTAGGAAATGCAAATAGCTTGATTGGGCTAAAAAATTACTAAGCTGGCCACATTGTCAACAACCCTATTTATTACTTCGCTGTAGGGAGAAGTTGTGTTTATTGCTTTTACCTGTGCTGAGTGGTTATGCGCCTGGAGATGGAGGAGCAAACCAAGATGAAACCCATTCGAAAGGAAATCTTACACCCAGGCAATGCGTACATCGAGTTGAAGCCAGGCACCAGGGTGAGCTATCTGCCCTATCTGCGTTAAGGGCAATGCAGCGATAGCCATGGTCCAGCCGTTTAAATTGGGCCAAGGACGTCTGTGTGGGTGGTGGTTTTCTAATCAACCCTCCCCTTTGCTTACAGGTGAAGTTTCATTTCCAGACACGTAAGGTGGGCGAGTCTCGCATCGTAGACGATAGCCGCAATATGTGCAAGCCGATGGAGCTCGTGATGGGCAAGAAATTCAAGCTGGAGGTCTGGGAGGTGATGGTGCAGCAAATGTCGCTGAACGAGGTGGCCAAGTTTACCGTACACAAATCAGTAAGAAATATATCCAATTTTGTGACATTTGACTCTTTGGGCGCTGATTTGACTTACCCTTGCATGGAGAGCTTTTGGCTAATTTCCTATATTTTACTTTATATATTTGTGTATTTCGTTAATTTAATTTTATAATTTTTTTAAAAATTTTTTATGAAATTTTCAAAACATTTTTTTAAAATTCTATCATAGTTCAAAATTAAGTTCACTTCTCCCACTAACAACACATTTATTTCGTACAGCTCTGCGCCCAGTATCCGTTTATTTCCAAAACACTTCGAGACATTGGAAAAAAGCCAGAAGAGCGGCGCCATTGCTGCGGTATGACCCTGCAGAATGAGGGTATCGGCTACACGGACCTGGACGATCTTTTGCAGCACCCCATCGACCTGGAGTTTATCTTTGAGATAATATCTATTGAGCTGCCCGAGGAGTACGAAAAAGATCGTTGGCAAATGTCAGACGAAGAGAAGATGCTGGCCACTAGTAGCCTGCGAGAGCGCGGCAATGCATTTTACAAAGCGAGTCGCTTTTCGGAGGCCGAGAAATGCTACAACGACGCTGTGGGCATCATTGAGCAGTTGTTGCTGAAAGAGAAGCCCCATGATCCCGAGTGGGAAGAGCTTGCTGCAATCAAGATACCGCTGCTGCTGAACTATGCACAGTGCCGACTCATCGCCGGAGACTTTTACGCCGTCATCGAACACTGCAACGAAGTGCTTAACTTGGATCCACGAAATGTTAAAGCATTGTTCCGAAGAGCTAAGGCCCATGCAGGCGCTTGGAATCCAATGCAGGCGCGTCGCGATTTTATCGACGCCTTGGCTTTGGATGCCAGCCTCAGATCCACCGTGACCAAAGAGCTAAAGTCAATTGAGGAGCAGCAGCATGCCCGCAACGTCCAAGACCGCATTCACATGCAGAAGCTCTTCTAGAACATAAGTTGTGCCAACATGCTGCTCATGCTGCTGGTCTACTGGAGCTGTTATCTGCAGCGCTAGCAATTACTTTCGCTACACCCCTTTCTATTGGTGGCCGTTCTCTGCGCCCATGGCGTCGTTCTACTGTGTGCCGTCGGCAATCTACTCCTCTGCTGCCTGACCCTCGTGAAGTTAGTGCGGGCACTGCCCCGGCCGAGTTTTTCGGACGGAGTCCGGATCGGAGGCGACCGATACAAGCGGGTTCACGTCACAGCGTTCTGTGACAACAGCATTTCATAACTCTTGTTTCATCCCCACAAAGGTTTTTTCGACGAGCCAATCACCAAATTAGCCTACATGTCTCTATCAGTGATAACAACCCGGACTTGACTTTACCACACTTACTATAGTGTTACATTTGAATGTCGTGTGTACATATATTATATATAAATTGTTGTTCAGGCATTAATCAAACCACAACTCAAATGTTCCACATTTGCTCCTCATAGTAAGAAATGTATGAATGTTTATCTATGTGCTATATTTAGTTTTAGGTAAAATTCACTTTACACGAATTGTATAAATGTGCTTTAATGCTATCTAATTGTTAAACCACGTGTTTGTTTTACTGACTGGGAATGGCTTGGTTAACATTGAATATTAAATAGTGATTTTTTGTGGGGTTACCGCTGTTATTTGGTAAGACGTTTTCCTATAAAATTCATTCAAAAACATTAAGTACCTCAGTGGAGGACATCCAAATATGAGAGAAACAAATTACCAGTGGTATTCAATTATAGAATTACTCGATCATATAATCATTCTCCTAATTATGTATGTACATACATATATGTATGTACGCAACGTATGCAAACATGTATGCAACGATTTTAACATTTTAAGTGAAAATTAACGAAAAAGAGATGAGTAGTGTCATTGTACCCTTTCAGAGGGTCAAAAGTGCGCAACTCAGTGAAGGAGACATCTCCGACCCTATAAAGTATATATATTCTTGATCAGGATCACCTCCTGATCCGTCTGTCTGTCCGTCTGTTTCTACGCAAACTAGTCTCTCAGTTTTAAAGCTATCGACTTGAAACTTTGCACACACCCTTCTTTCCTTTGCACGTTGGCATATGTATAAGTCGGAACCGGGATCGGTCGACTGTATTCCTATAGCTGCCATATAACTGATGGATCGAAAATGCTATAACTTTGGGGTTTTTAGAGTTAGAGAGTTCGGATTTTGGATGAATGCTATTTTTTACGACATACCAAATTTCATAAGGATCGGCCAACCATAACCTATAGCTCCCATATAACTGAACAATCGGAAATGGCACAACTTTCGTGTTTTTGAAGATAGAAAGAACTTGCAACATTGTACAGAGTCTATTTTTAGTTATTTGATCCGACCTACCAAATTTTATGAGGATCGGCGGACTATATCCTATAGCTTCCATATAACTAAACGATCGGAAATTGTATTTGGTAGAAATACCAACTTTGGTATTTTTGAATATAGAAGCTTGGGACTTTGTTTTAGCTTTATTGTATTAAATTGATTATATTATGATAGTCTCATGAGGATCGACCAACTATATCCGATGTTTCCGGTTTTAACTGCCAGAGTATATCAACTTCAGCTCTGCCCGAAGTTAGCTTTCCATTTTTGTTGTCTTTCATATTGATGAAAGTAGAGTGGAAATTCCTGAGGGCCCATTTGTCAGAAAGTTCCTAAATTTGTTAGCGATTTGTTTTAAATTAGTGGATTCTCAACCGATAAAATGCAGTAATGTAATATAATCTAAAAATAATAAAACACTCGATTTCTTGATTGTTTAATTTACTAATAAAAAGTGCGAATGCGGGAATCAATAACATTAATATTCACATTAAATAAATTATTTAATAGTAATCTCTTTCTTATAGTCGCCACAAACGGCTGCTGTTGCCCCCAATGGCTCCCTCCGCCTCGCCCCTCAACTTGTTGTCGTCAGTCCGCCAGATGAAAGGCTCCAGGCGGTCTTCGTCGTCAAGGAAGTTGTTGATGGCTTCAAGGCTAGCAATATTCTCGTGCAGCAGTGAATTGCAGCGACTGAGCTGGTGGGAAACGTTCCGAATCTTGACGAATTGTTCCGCGTACGAGGCGTATGTCTTCTGCAAATCCACGAAGCTGGCGAACAAGGTGGTAATCGAGTTGCTGACCACTTTGGTGCGCTCGACTAGATGGTTTTGTTCGCTGGAAACATAGTTAGCGCACAGATTCAGGTGTGTCTGCATGCGTGTGCATATGTTTACGAGGTGCTGCGAGTGGAGCCGTTCAAGGATTTCTGCATCCCGCGTGTACGTTGCCGAGGTGATCGACTCGCGTAGGACAGGAAGGAATTGCGGAATGTTGCGCAACCGAGCCAGGTCCTGATCCACATCCTCGCCAGCATCGATAGCCCCGGGCCGCACTATAACAATGTTGTGACTAGAGGCAGTCGACTGCGGCCGTTTTGGCTTAATGGAGCTGGTAAAACCCCCTGGATGGGACTTCCTGGCAGCCGCGCGCAAGGCACTGTTTTGCTGCAGCATGTGCGTCGGCTTACTGCGTATCTTTGGTGAGTCACCAATGGGACGATCAGTGTAAGAGACGTAGGGTAGATCGGAGCAGACGCTCAATGGCGGCGACGGAGGTCTGCTCAGCTCCGTGCTCCCGGGGGATGCGGCCTCTGCGATGATCTGCTTGCTTGCTATCATAATACTAGCAGGTCCAGGGGCTCCACCACTCGCCTGTCGGTGGCCACGTCGCTTGTTGGCCGCCGCCGTCGCAGCTGCTGCTGCCAGGACCATGCCGCTACCATCGTTAAGTGAGCCTGCGCCTGCGGCCAATGTCGCCCCTGACCCTACACCCGCTCCAGTTCCTTGTGACTGGCGGCCATCGAGGATTTCGTGCCCATCAACTTCAATCCGCTGCTGCGAGTGTTCGGCGCCCATTTATCGATCCGATTGGGTTTGGTGCAGCAATTCCTGAACCCCTGTGAGTAGAGTAAACTTTTACCGCCTGGCTGAGCGCCTTGTTTGGATGTCAAACAGTCCTCCGGTATACTTATAGATTATTCATCTCAATAAGTCAGGATATGGAGGCCTATTGAAATCGGAAAAACCAAAGCAAACAAAATTCAACCTTGAAACGAAACACCTATCAATATGGGCCTAAAAAATACCAAACAATATTTCTTTTGTTTATATGAAAAATACTGCTAATATTATCTAGAGATGGAAGACGTCAATTTTAAGGTTTGTAGAAAAGTTATATTTCATCGCTACTATCGATGTTTTTAGCGCTTCACTAATATAGGGCAAACCTATGTTAAAATCTGACTATTTTCCTATCGGGATTTTCCATTATTATGCCGGCTACCACACGTTAATCATTTTTCTTGAGGTATGGGAACACCCGGAAAGATCCTGAAGGCATTTTCACAAAAAAAATATATAAACTAATTCATTAAACTAAACATACAAAAAAAAATAAATTTCAAACAAAAAAAAATTACTACGTTACACAATTTATTAATTTACTAAAACAAAGCAGACGATTGGACATGGCGATATCGGGCCCAGGGGAGACCCTCCCTTCCTTGGACCAAACCCTACATTTTTGGGATCATCACTGGCTGGACTTCCCTTAACTTGTAATTACCGTTTTAACTTCCTCTCATTGTTGTGTACTCTGACACACATTTCCTTTTTTTCTGATTATATTATTTTAATTTATGATTTATTGTTTGCCTTTGTTTTATCTTTCAGTTCAATTAAATTCTTAAATATTAAACATGCATTAACATAACACCTAACCGCCTTGGCACGAATGTATGTATAAGTGTGACAAAGGACAGGGTTTCAGGTAAAAATGTATTTTTTAACCCTGTGAAAACCTAGGGGCCAACCCAGGAAGGGCGCCCAATTTCGGCTGACTTCAGTTGGATGAGATGAGCTCCAAGTCTTGTTTCTTCAAAATGTACTGAGGATCAATTTGTTTTTTTTTTTATCCCTTTTTTCCTTGCCCCCACACCGGTTGGATGAATATATTCAGCCGATCCTCATGACATTTGGTATGTCGTATTATTTTGTTGTATGGCAGCTATAGGATATAGTCCGCCGCTCCCGCCGATCCGTCTTATATACTGCGTTGTTTTCCAAAGGAAAGAAGGGTGTGTGCAAAGTTTCAAATCGATAGCTTCAAAGCTGAGAGACTAGTTCGCGTAGAAACAGACAGACGGACATGCTTATATACATACCTACATACATGATCAGGTGATCCTGATCAAGAATATATATACTTTATGGGGTCGGAGATGTCTCCTTCACTAAGTTGCACACTTTTGACCAAAATTATAATACCCTCTGCTAGAGTATAAAAAAACGGCGTTTCCGCCCAATGTGCAGTGTGCAAACGGGCGTATCATATTGCCGACATGAGAGCTGGACGTTATAAGAGAGATAAGCGATAAGAGTGTGTTTTTTTCTATCATGCTTTGGTTAATATTCCATTATTATTGTTTTTGTTGCCATTCCATTAGTCGCTTTGAGGTGCTAATTCGTTTTCAGTTTCAGTTTCAGTTTGGATGAGTGCGGTCGTAGTATTCGCGTCAACAGTTGGCTGAGAGACTCACCTACGAAGACAACTCCTCGGAAGGTTGAATTTGATCGCAAATCCAACTGAAACTACCATGGAGAGCGGCAGCAGTGTAAGAAACATACATACCCCGTTATAGATAAACCATCGATTGAGTAAAAATAAGTGACCAATTCCCATAAGAGGTAGGCACAACTGCCACTTAATTTTTACAAACATAAAACCCCAATTTGGAATTTTGAAAAATTCACGATAAAATTGTGTAATATAATTCCAAAAGATATCCCCCTGCGTGTATAGCGAACAAATATTTGTTTTGGTATCGGCAAACAACACCCAAAACTGTTTTCTTATTGTACAATTTTGAAAAAATTCCATAGATTCTATCTTTAACAAGAAAGGAAAGCTAAATTCGGTCGGAGCCGAAGTAGATATACCCTTGCAGTTAAAAGCAGTTATGGTATATCTTAAAAATCGGATACGGTTGGTCAATCCTTATGAGAATATCATAATATAACCAATTTATTACAATGAAAAATCTAAAAAAAAAGCCCAAAGCTTCTATCTCCAAAAATACAAAAGTTAGTATTTTTACTAAATAATTACCATTTCCGACCGTTCAGTTATATGGCAGCTATAAGATGTCGGCCTATCCTTATGAAATTCGGTAGAGTTTTGCCAAATGTTTGGAAAAATACCCTTTCAGAAGGTAATTTACTAGTTTTGGTCAAAAGTGTGCAACGCAGTTAAGGAGACACCTCAGACCCTATAAAGTATATATTCGTAATCAGGATCACCTCTTAAGTTGATAAAAGCAAGTCTGTCTGTCTGTCTCTACGCAAACTAGTCACTCAATTTTAAAGCTATCGACTTGAAACTTTGCACACACCCTTCTTTCCTTTGCATGCAGTATATAAGTCGGGATCGGCCGACTATATCCTATAGCTGCCATATAACTGATTGATCGAAAATGCAATAATTTTGGTGTTTTTAGAGTTAGAGAGCTCGGATTCTATTTACGAATGCTATTTACGACAAAATAATACGACAGGCCGACTATACAGATTCTTACAGATATTATTTTTCCTTAACTAAATTTTTGTATAAGGAACATTCGAAACATTAATTTTGTATCCGAACTTTCGAATGGACTTTTACGAAAATTTTAAAATGTTTATAAACGTTATATACACATACATATATAAAGTATATATATGAATATACATATATTTGTAAAACTGTTTAGGAACTATAAGAAATAAGATGACCGCTTCCAAGATCGGTGTCCGCTGATATGAATTCACTTTTAGTGATTAAAATAGTCTCGGGGCGCTATACCTAATTACACATTTATCGATTCTCATTCACGACTTCTGACCGAGTTTCTTTATTGCAAAATATTTCTTAAGGTCTTGATTCTAATATAGTGTGTTAGTATTGTGTAGTTAGGATAAAAATTCAGTTTGGAGTACTAATATATCAATAATAAGTACCCAAATGTAATGTAAGTTTGTAATCCAATTAACAGCCCAATCCGCAGCATATCCTGCAACTAAGTGAGGAGCAAAAAAATAAATTCATCGATTCCTTCGACCGAGTGGTCAGTGATATTGATGGCGTAATCTGGGACATGTACAACACGGTCCCCGGAGCACCGGAGGCATTTTTGGCACTTAAAGGAATTGGGAAAGAAGCGATTTTCGTCACCAATAATAGCGTTCGCACTGTTGAACAAGCCGTTCGTCATTTCGAGAAGATCGGGGTGCCAGTGCGTCCGGAACAGATTACGCACCCGGCCCAGAGCACTGTGAACTACTTGCGCGGAATTAACTTCCAAGGACTCATCTATATCATCGCCAGTCCTCCATACAAGGCGGTACTACGGGAGGCCGGTTTTCAGCTCATTGATGGGGTAAGTCATTCAATGAATTGGGGAAGTTGATCTTTTTAATTTAGAAACTTTTAAGATAGTCTAAGCCCTTTTTCTAAATAGAAAACTAAAAGGCACCCAATTGTATTAAATGTTACGATGTTTTGTGAGTTCCATTCGTTTTTGCCCATTTCTTCTCCACAAAATCGTATAACTATATCATTTTTTTCAGCCTAATGAGATTATCGATGACACCTTCCAAAGCCTGGCCAAGAAGATATTCGACCAGCAGCCAGTGAACGCTGTCATAATTGATGTGGATTTCAACATGAGCTCCACGAAGTTGCTGCGGGCCCAGCTATACCTCCGGAATCCGGAGTGCCTGTTTATCGAAGGCGCAACCGACCGCTTACTGCCACTAGGCAAAGGAGTAAACATTATTGGACCCGGGGCCTTCACCAATATCCTGTTGGAGGCAAGCGGGAGAGAGCCTGTCACGTTGGGTAAACCGGGTCGCGAACTTGGGAAGCTGCTTGTTGAGAACTACAAGATTGATCAGCCGGGCCGGGTGCTCATGGTCGGGGATATGATGGCCCAAGACATTGTGTTTGGACGGCAGAGCGGCTTTCAGACGCTGCTCGTCCTTTCCGGCGGCTGTACTCTTGACCAGCTCCATTCGGAGACCGATCCTAGCCGCATTCCCGACTTCTATGCTGATTCCATGGCGGATGTGGCTACGCTCCTCGGTCAGTCACCAAAGTCAAACTTTTAAAATTTCCGAAAAAATCGGGGGAACTTTGACTTCATATGCGGGAATTGGTCTTACCTCCACATATGTTATTGTTAAAAATATATTCCCGCCTTAAATTACTAATTAAGTTTCAACGGCAACGACAAGGAAAGAGGCCAAAATGAGGGATCAATTGTCGGAAATGTATACGCATACAAGGAAAATATGATCCTATATTTTTGTTATAGGTTTTAAAAAATTTTTAATTTTAATTTTTAAGTTTTTTTTAGAAAAATGGTCCAAAACTGGTAAAACTACAAAAATTTACCTTATAAACTAAAAATTGATCCCACCTATTAATATACAAATCACCAATTAATATACACCAAATTTATAATATATATAAAAAATATTTAATCTATAAACATTTAATATAACATTTTTTAAGCACTCATCAAATAAATAAACCCACAAACAAAATGGAAACAACAGCAAAATAGTTTTTTATCATATTCAGGGGACACTCTTATAAATGATTCGAGAAACACCTGCTGCTGAAGTATGAAAAACAAAATCAATAGAAATATAAATTTAAATATAACTATAAAGAACATCCTTTAAGGCAGGGGTGCCCAGTCTCATTGCTCTCGGTGCTCCTTTGTTGTTGGAATTGATCCCCATATGAAAGGAAATGAAATTTCATATATGTACGTGTGTTGCTGCCAGTATAGGCAAGGGCAATTACAATAAAAATTGTTCGTGTTTTCCCCATCTCCTCAATCGTGATAATCCGAACGCATTTTGTTGCTCGAGTGCCGAACACTATCAAGAAATTCAATCTTGTTTTTTTTTTTCTGCCAAAATAGTCGACCTGAAGCGATAAATTTCTTCTTCGCAGAAAATTTTTATACCCTTGCAGAGGGTACTATAATTTTCTCCAAAAGTGTGCAACGTAATGAAGGAGGCATCTCCGACCCTATAAAGCAGTGGTCGGCACGGCCCTATCCCGAGACCATAGGAAATTTCTCTGCCCTAATACTAATGCGTTAAAATCAAATCAATGTATTGGGGTGCTGACCACTGCACTATAGGAAATTTGACCACTTTTTCTGGCCAAAAACCATTTTTTGAAAGTTAAAGAATATAAATAATTTTAACTGCATATCATTCACAATAGATTAATTTTTAATGTTGCGTACCAGAAATTTCCACAAATGGCACCACTGCGAAAAAATCAGCTGTTAAAAACAGCTGTTGATGTTAACATTTACATGGGCTTAGAATTTAAGATTTTTTGGTGCTATTTTAAAAACGCAAATACTGAAAATTTTATGGACAAAATCAAAAGTTTTGAAATGAATACTTCTCAATGTGGTTTGTATTATGTGTTTGTGTATGTGAAGTATCCAAAAAATTTGTGTTGTCTTTTTAATAAAGTGAAAATGTAAGTAGTCTAGCAAAAGAAACTTTTATAAATAAATCACATTTTTAAAAAGAGATTTAAACCAAGTCTGGCCGAGTCGGACAATGTAATTTAGTCCATGTAGTAGATTGTTTAATTTTCTTCAAATGAGTGTAATATGAATATGACCTTTTATGCACTTTCGAAGAAATTCATAATATAAGGAGGCAACCTCAACACCTTGAATGTGAATCTGTTAGCTGTGAGACTACTGCAAAACCGAACAGTTAGCATGTTATTTTTAAATAGGGGGCGGTGCCACGCCCACAATTTTTTCATTTCTGAGTTCTTTTGACCATATAAACTCAAATCAAAAATCAAAATCTAAATATCTTGCATAGTTTTTGAGTAAGAATGTGTTTCTTAAAAAGTGGGCGGTGCCACGCCCACATTTTTTTAAAATCTTAAATCTATTGATCATGTGAACTCAAATCAAAAATCAGAACTTAAATATCTTGTTTCGTTATTGAGATATTATTTTTGGCCAGAAAAAGTGGTCATATTTCCTATAGTGCACTGCACTATGGGTTTTTTGACATGTTTTTGTGGCATTAATTAATAACTCGGTCAGTTTTGGATATATCGACATAAAACTTTACCAATCGTTACTATTTGCAAATCGGATAACGTTTAAAATACCGGATTTCAGTGTTTTTCCATACAAATGCATATAAAAGTTTAAAAAGAAAAAAGAAATTCCTTCATACAGTAGTATTAATCTTATTATTCATTTATTTCATTTTCTTTAATATATCAATATTATCTAAAAACAAAAAAGGAAAGCTAACTTCGGTCGAAGCCGAAGTTTATATACCCTTGCAGTTAAAACCGGATATATATCGCAAACATCGGATATAGTTGGCCGATCCTTATGAGAATATGATAATATAACCCAATTTATTATAATACAAAATTTAAAACAAGTCCCAAACTTCTATCTTTAACAATACGAAAGTTGATATTTCTACCAAATACCATTTCCGATCGTTCAGTTATATGGCAGCTATAGGATGTAGTCGGCCGATCCTCATGAAATTTGGTAGGGTGGATCAACTGACAAAAATATAATCTGTACTTAGTTTCGGCTTTCTATCTTCAAAAACACGAAAGTTGGGTCATTTTCGATCGTTCAGTTATACGGCAGCTATAAGATATAGTCATCCTTATGAATCCTTATGAAATTTGGCATGTCGTAATGTTATGCCAAAAATAGCTTTCGTGTAAAATTTGAACTCTCTAACTTTAAAAACATCAAAGTTATACCATTTCCGATCAATCAGTTATATGGCAGCTATAGGATATAGTCGGCCGATCCGCCGCTCCGACTTATATACTGCGTGCAAAGAAAAGAAGGGTGTTTGCAAAGTTTCAAGACGATAGCTTTAAAACTGAGAGACTAGAAACAGACAGACGGACATGCTTATATCAACTCAGGAGGCGATCCTGATCAAGAATATATATACTTTATAAGGTCGGAGATGTCTCCTTCATTGCGTTGCACACTTTCGACCAAAATTATAATACCCTCTGCAAGGGTATAAAAAAACAAGCTGGAATCGTTAAATTCGTCTTCTTCGAGACAAACATTATTTTATTATTTGTCTGACAAACAGACAAACAAACATCAATTGGAAGTGAAACCCTCTTTAGTTTTTTATGCGTCTCGATAAATTAAGGGACAAAATAATTGGATCTATCGGCTGTGCTTTCTTGTTTCGGGAACAACGCATTTTCCATTACTTCCATTAAAAATTGGTGGCTTTTTTCTTTCAAAACGGCATTATCAACATTGTTATTTCCATGACGTTCAAAAAAAAATTGTAAAGCCATTTGTTGCTCAGCCCGGCCCTTTCCGCTGTTCCAAGAAGCGACCAAATCGGCATTGGAGAAAGTGATCGGTTTTCTAAGAAAAATTCAAATGGCAACAATAGCGGGGAAAAGTGCACAATAAGACTAACAGCCTTTGCTCAGTATTGACCACGCTACAACATACACTTGGACGAATTGAAAACTTTCTATTTCAAAACTTTTCCCAAAGTTCAAATTTGATTCCCAAAATTCAGCTTAAGGTGCATTTATAAAATGACAAAATTTTAGTATAGACACGCACAATTTAAACAGTTAATACATTTAACATGTAGTACAAGCCTGTGAAATCAGTGTCCATTACTATTTTTCTTTTCAAATGGTGTTTTACACGAATAATCTAATTTAACAAATCACTATGTGAAAATTACAAACTTAGCGCACGTGCTTTCGGATGCAACAGCTGACTTTGCAGTTGTTACGCTAACATTTAAGGTTCATAAAAACATATATAAAAATGGAGGACCTTTTTTAAAATTGCTATAATAATTTAATTATATTATTTTTTTTAAACCTCTTGTGAATTTTAATTTTATTTTACAGTTCACTCACATGGATGGGGAAAAAAAATTCTCGCACCAAAGTATTAGTGATTTTTTGTATTGGTATGGAAGTTTTCTCTCCCGTATGCAGAGCTTGGGCACCCTTGAAATAAATACATTAATCGGATTTCCGATCACTTAATAACAACACTACTAACCGTAAGGGAACACCATTTATCGCACACAAAAGGGTCACCGATTTCGATCCCTTCGTTCAATTCGTTGAAAATCTTCTTAATCCGTAAAATCCTGATATACTTATATCTTAAACTTATAGAAAATCTAAGACATTTGAGAAATAATATTTTCATTTATGTAATTGATTTCGTTTGGATTCTTATAAATAAAATCAGTTAAGGAAATGAACTCATTGAACTAATAACGTTTATTATTTTGGAGGATCTCTTTTCATGTATTCGTTAGGTACTACGGTATAGGACTGTGAATTTTATTTAAAACGGAACAATTAATATGCTTAAAAAATAAACTTATTGGAGAAACATCTATTATTTAACATTCCAGTCGACATTACCAGGATTATGTGGAATAATATGATTATTTATTAATTATGTGAGAAAAAAAATATTTGATTTGTTCCAAAAAATTATTTTTGAATATCCGTTAAATCATGCAAACAATCAGTCAAATAGTCCGGCATCTGGGGATGCCCTGGCGGTAGAAACTCCACGTCCTTTAACTTCGTTCCGCCGGTGAGGACGAGCAGTGTCTGGTAGCCACTGGCGCGGGCGAAAGCTATGTCGCTGGTCAAGCTGTCGCCCACAAAAAGAATTCGACTCGCCGGGATATCCGGGTAGCGCTTCAATAGGACATTGCGCAGTTCTTTCCCGGGTTTTCCGAGAGTTATAGGTTGTCGCCCCACGGCTTGAGATAAGACATCGATGAAGACTCCAGGACCTAAATTATAATTGGAATAGTTAGTGCCTTTTTAAAAAAGCTTTCACGACTAAGTCTACTGACTATAGATAGACATTATTTATCCAACCTAGTCTCAGTTACTAAAATTTTTTTTCCTTTTTTAGTTAAATGAGTAAATGAAAAGTAAATAAAATGTTAAAAGTAATAACTTTTATTTTCAAATTTGACTTTAAATAGAAGCTTACAAAATCATCTTTTCAAACGACCTAAAATATATAAAATTTTTGGGACTGATAACCTTTTGTTTTCCGAATTTAATACCTATTGTAACGAGTTCCAATCGCTTTACTAAATTAAATTAAACTAGCAAGCGGATAAGCCGAACTTTTTTAAACTTTTTTCATGCTTTAGGACCTAAAGTTTAGGTAATAATTTTAGAATTTCGGATTCCACGTTTGTATTGTTGTCCAAAATTGCTTTGAAAACTCACCAATAACCTCGCCTTTTCCAAAAGGTATAAAAGCATCTGCAGCTCCAGCGAGAAATAAGCACTTTGGATTTTGAAGTTGGATGTGGGCCCGCATTAACTTAGCAGCCGACAAATTAAAGTCCACATCGATTACGACTGCCTGGACGGGATCTCCGCCATATACGGCATCGTTCAAATCCTTGAGACTCTTGATCATATCGGTTCCTTGCTATACATATTTGTGACCCAGATCAGAGATCAGTTTAAAGGTGGCATTTGGCTACTCACCTCCTCGGTCAACTGAAAGCCCGCGTCCGTAAGAACCTTTCTAAAAGAATTGGTGGCAAGGCAATATATAATTCCTGTGAAGTTAATTGACTTTAAATGGTCGCAAATGGTTTGAGCAGGGTGAACTATTTGGTCCTGGAAAAAAATGCTCGATTTAATGCAAATAAATATTTTTATAATTATAATAGAAATAAAATAAAGTTTGTATAGGACCCGCAGTATAAGTATATTTTGAAAAAGCTTCCAATTTCAAATGAGTAATTGTTTAATTATAATTTAATTTCAAAACTTAAGGATGTAAGTTCTCTTTTTGATATGGCATATAATATAAATAAATAAATGATATAAATACTAAATATAACGTAATTTGAATGCGGATTTGGAATAATGATATTGGATCTTATCTGATAAATTATATTTTTTCGAATACACGATAACACTTTGTACCTCACAGTTAATGGGTATAACGATACTTTGTTGAGTATTACATACCTCGTGTACCAACAGCTGACCTTGTTTAGTAAACTTTTCTATGTGATCCTTTACAGAAATAATGCTGTTGTTGGTCACAAACGTAACTTTTTTTCCAAAGCGCTCCAAGTTAGCCAGGGCTTTCCCAGATCCGGGGATAAAGTCCTGAAGAGGATACCACACAACTCCTGCGGAAATTGAACTTTTTGTAATGAATGTTTCAGTTCTAAGGTCGGCTAGGAAATTTTTACCATCGCAGTCGCAGAAAACCAAATCAAAAGATTCAAGGAAGTCCAAACGTTCCTTCGGACTCAGATGCTTAATTTGTTTAAACTGAAATGTTAGGAGGTAATACACAGACACTAGATAAAAGATGTAATGGGGTTTCACGAAAAAAAAACAACAAGTTTTCAATTAGATTAAAGGGGTTGGCGGGCTCGGATTTCTTCTATTGAACTGTAATCTTTTCCAGATCTGTTCTGGTCAAGTTATCTTTAACCCACCGAACTCATATCGATCGCTATGACGAATAGCTGGCACAAATCCGGATCAATAAGATAGCTGGTACAGGATTTCTTGCCACTCAAGGTTGCACTCAAGCGTTGCGTCAACCACTTTGCCACCACACGAGACACATTTGTAACTAAGCCCAGAGCTCCGAGCGCCCCACGCTGGAAGACACCTCGCCTGCTGTGATAGGGGTTGGATCCCAACCGATCACCAAACAACCAAGTGGGTGGGGGCTGTTACTTTACACATTTCAAATTGCATTAAACCGGCAGCCAATTCAACTGGTCACTAAGCTGCAATGTATGTCACATACACAGCGGGAAAAATTGGGTTCAAAGAGTTTTTTTGTAATTAAATGATTAACTTTAACTGAAACAATTCAAACATTCTTCAAGTGGAACTCATATTAAACTAACTTAGCAATAAAAAATGTTGCAAAAATGTATTTAAAATGGAGTACAAATAATTTAAAAGATAAAAGTTTTCTCAGTTACAAAATTTTTATATTTAGAATCGAAAATAATTTGAAAATCAGAAGCAACTAGATTTAGATTTCATTATAAATTTCACTAAGTCATAATTGTTAGCATTTAGGGAATAGCAATCAAAAAATGGAATATAAATGGAAGGGATGGCGATGGATTTTTTCTCTGTACATGGAACACATTTTATATGTTTTTAGATTAAATACACAAATATGACTAAAAAATAAACCCTTTTTTTTCTGTTGTAGATACGCATCAATTGTTTGTAATCTAAGTAGTATTACTGGTGTAGCTACCAATTGAGTGTTATAAAACCTGAAAGACAACGTTCCAATTGATTTGTTTCCATCACTTTTCAATCGAGAGCATTGAAAGCGTTGGATACATCCGGTTTGAATATTTATTGGAGGTCTCAGGATTCCACAAGGAAAAACGGAAGATTGTTACATAAGATTAATTTTATTTTTGTTTAAACATAATCATAATTTCTTGGGTTTTATTTTTTGTTAATAAATAATTTAATTCTTTACATTTTTATTATAAAAAAAATAATAAAATTATAAACTTCCTAAATGTTTTATGTTTATACATGTTAACCAACAAGTACCGGGTATGAAAAGTCCCAAAACAAACTCTTCGGGAGTTACCGCCGCGAAAATTAAAACCGCCCTTTAAGAAAAGGGCCCTTTAATAAAAACAAAAAGCTACATCCTCTCTTCTAGGTCGAGCTCGAGCCACAAAGCAGGTCGCTGAAGAAGAACGAAGTCCACCCAGTTTACAAGCTGCAATATCTTTTGCATGAGAGAATCACTTTTGAAGAGCCACAAAAACGCAAGGAGTTGAAGAGTCGCATGCGTCAAACGACCGCAACGCGCAACCAAAATCCACAGAATGTGTACATTGCGTCAAAAGCTATGCCAGACTTGTTTTTCGCCAAAGCTACAAGGTACTCATTCGGTCCCCTAAACACCACCAACGGCTTCTCCTATGCCGATGCTCTACGATCTGGAATAGAAAATCCAATTCAGCCTAACTCACAAAGCGCTCAAAAGGCCCCAGAACAACCACATAGCAAAACGGAAACTTTAATGCTTACCCTCCAACAAACTATGATGGAGCTTATGTCCTTTATTAAAACGACCACGCAAACACTTGTTCAAAACCAGAACATGGTAATACAGCTGCTCGTAGCACAACAGTCTAAATAATCTAGACTGGTATCTAGGCATAAACTAGAATTGTCACAATTCTCGACAGAAAACCATACACCATAAAAGCAAATACAACTCTTAAATACGAGGCTATAAAATTTACAGATCATCTAGATGAGAAAGCCCACGGCGGAACTGAAGTTCTAATCAGAAAACACATTAAACACCATTTTCACAAAAGGTTCGCAACAAACTTCTTGCAGGCAGGCAGACTTCTTCTTGATACAAATTCAGTCAACTGCCCTCCTCGTTTCTCAATCTAGGAAGTACAATTTATCGACTTCTACAATTAACTTGAGGATCGTTTTATAGCCGCAGGAGACTACAACGCCAAACATACGCACTGGGGATCAGGTCTAGTGACTCCCAAAAAAAGGCAATTGTACAATGTAATTATAAATGTGAGAAATAAACTAGAAGGCCCACATACTGGTTAACCGCACCACGACCTTATTGATTTTGCGGTGACAAAAAACATACCTCGCAATCTAATAAGTGCCAAAGCAGTCTCGGACTTCGGAGTCATCAGAAAAGAGAAGAGAGGCGCACGCGTTTGGATTGGCAAAAACGCAGATAACCAGCTTCAGAGCAACACCTTAAGGAAGCAACCCGATCACTCGACCAGGCTCTTCACCAACAGGAAGAAAATGCACAGCTGAGGTACATCCACAATCTTTCGCCAAGAAGCACAAAGCGGCCTCCCTGTGGAGGACCCACCCAAATCTTAACGCCCCAATTGAAACGACCACCCCAATAAGAAACTCTTCGGGATGCTGGGCTCGCAGCGACGAAGACCGAGCTGAAGCATTCGCTACACATCTTCAAAGTGTCTTCCAGCCAAACCCTGCCCCAAATTCATTCCTCCTGCCAGTAATTCAGCCAGAGTTTATGCCTCAGCCAACTGCACCTTCATTCCGGCCGAACGAAATCGAAAATGTCATAAGAGGGCCAAAACCAAAAAAGGCTCCCGGTGGTGGCCTACTGACGCCAAAGATGCTGATCGAACTTCCAAAATGCGCTATAGAGGTCGTCTGGAAACTATATAATGGGATCATGAATCTTGGCTATTTCCCAATAAAGTGGAAGACATCCAAAATTATAATGATACCAAAGTCTGGAAAAGACCACACAATTCCGTCATCATACAGTCCCTAAGCCTTTTATCTTGTTTTTTTTTTTTAATTGGTTGAAAAATGCTTGTAATAAAAATGCTCTTAATACCACATCTGGAAGCTTGCAATATTATCCCGGCACTCCATTTTGGCTTCCGAAGAAACCACTGAATTATCGAGCACGTGAAAAGATTTACATTCGAAATACGCTCAGCTTTCGACCGAGTTAGGCTTAATGGACTCATGCACAACATTAAAACGTATCTGCCAACATACACCCACAAAGGTTGTTTTCCGACTGGCGCATGAAAATAAACGAAAAAAAGTGTAAACATGTAACCTTTACTCTTAATATACAAACATGCCCTCCGCTTTCACCAAACGGGATGCAGATCCCTTAAGCCAACAAAGTAACGTTCCTTGGCGTCCACCTTGATAGAAGACTAGTATTATTTTGCCAAAAAAAACATTACTGCAAAATCCAAACTTTTTTTACTCTAACACCAAAGTTACAGCATTTCTCATCAAACAGTTATTTGACAGCTATAGGATATAGTCGGCCGGTACAGTAGTTTTGGAACAAAGATGGCCACCGACTTTGAAAACATGTTATGTGAGAAAACGATTTAAACCCTTTTGATCACCTATTAAGAAACCTTAAAACCCGTCTAAATTAGAGTAGGGTTGTTCCTGAACGAACGAACAAAAAAGACCCGGTCACTCAAAAGACCGATCTGAACTAGTTCACATCGTTCATCGGTCATTGTTTCTTGTTCTTTGGTCTTTGTTCCTTGTTCTTTGGTCTTTGGTTATTGGTCTTTGTTCTTGTTCTTTGGTCTTGGTTCTTTGATCTTTGTTCCTTGTTATTATTCCCTGATAATTTTTCACATTCCCTGATATTTTTTCTCAATCCCTGGTCATTTTTCTTACACCCTTATTATGCATCCCTGTAACTGAAAATTGTTTGTAAACAAACTTTTGAGTGGACAACAGCGAAATGCATCTAAAAACAAGAAAGAAAAATAAAATAGAATCTGTATCAAGTTCCAGCTTTCTATCTTCAAAAACACGAAATTTGGGTGATTTCCGATCAATCAGTTATATGGCAGCTATAGGATATAGTCGGCCGATCCGGGCCGTTCTGATTTATATACTGCGTGCAAAGGAAAGAAAGGTGTGTGCAAAGTTTCAAGACGATAGCTTCAAAACTGAGAGACTAGTTCGCGTAGAAACGGACAGACAGACGGACAGACGGACATGCTCATATCAACTCAGGAGGTGATCCTGATCAAGAATATATATACTTTATAGGGTCGGAGATGTCTCCTTCACTGCGTTGCACACTTTTGGACAAAATTATAATACCCTCTGCAAGGGTATAAAAAAACACAGTAAAATATGGAAACACTTCAAAAGTGTTAAAAATTTTTTTTTTTTAATGTTTAAAGTTTTTAATTTTAAATTGCTTAAATAATAATTTCTAATATTTTTTAAATTTACAAAAAGAACAAAAAGAACGACCTAGTTCAGTCCTAAAAAAAGAACGAACGAACTTATTCCCTAAAAGGAACGATGATTACCCATGTCTAGTCTAAATATTCATAGCTTCGTCAATTTTTACCCAATTGACTTGCTTTTTAGACATTTAATAATTTAAATGCCTTTTTAATAAAATAAGGCATTTAATAATTAAAACACAATGACTAATATTGCCTTTGAATTCTTCTTTTTTTTATTTTTTTTTTCTAATTTCACATGCGGCAGGCTGCACACAACGTAAAAATGAATGTCGGGCTTAGTCTCTATCTTAATAGTTTGTTAGTCGTAGATATATTTTTATCAAAACAACAATATTGCGCTATGTGCAATGCTCTCGCTTGGCAATAATCAACAATTAAAAAATAATTGTAGGGAAAGGGTATTCGGTATTCGGCTGTGGGCAACATTGTTAGGTACATTGAATGGTTATGTCACCCCAATACATTAATATGATTTTAATGCATTAGTATTAGTAACGAATAGCAGAAAGTAAGCTGTGAATATGACGTTTCACACATTTATAGTGTGTGTGTGGAGCAGAGCTCGAGCAGAGAAATTTCCTATGCCCTCGGGATAGGGCCGTGCCGACCACTGGTTAAAATATTAGTGTTAACACAATCTGTGGTGTAGGTTCTATTCGGTTTTTTCATGATGTTTCGTAGGTAAGCTTCATAGAAGTAGATTGCTATCAGCAACGGGTTTGTTCACAAATCATATATGCTTCCTCGTTGTTAAAGCACTTTGGACGTGAAAATATTATTTTAAAATATTGAAATGTATATTTAATATTTATATGTTTATATACTTATAGTTGTATAATCATTTGCTGCCAACTACCGGATTCTCTTGGCTCTAAACTGGAAATTAAATAAAAATCTAAAAAAATATTCGTGTGGGTATATATAAAAATGCAGTTCCTTGACTCAAGAGCACCGTGTCCCAAATTCATTGAGCATTCCCAATGCAAACAGTACAAAAAAAACATCTTAAGTACGAGCCCCCATTGCGGGGATCATAAGTGTTTGTATGTACACGGGTTTTAGTCTAGAAACCAAGGAGTAACACACCGCTCTATTTACACGAAAGTAGTGGCGTCATCGTAACCAGGTGCTTGGGTGTCCGTTGTTCGCTGACGCAGGCCATTTACCGTCATCTGGGCCTGCTTCATGGCGTGATGCTTCTCGTAGTCGATTATATGCTCCCGGAGCAGAAAGTTCTCGCGCGTAATGCGCTTCATCAAGCGGCCAGAGACGTCGGGAACCGCCCAACGCAGAATACCTTGCAGCATGTTGATAATGTTCTGTGGAATCGAGCAAATGTTTAGTGAAAACTTAATCAATTGTTGGCTTATTATCCACCTGGTAAATTACAATGAAGGCCAGCCTGCCAGTCAAAATCTTCCAATAGATCATTGGGCGCTTGTATGGCTGTTCGTCCCATGGCGGATTCCGAAACTCGGTGTAGCGGCACTGAGTTTCATTCACATACTGACTGCCCCCCAACAGCGGCTCCACCTGGAAGTCCTTGGTATTAAACACCGCCAGAGTAAAGTTCAGGTAGTTGTTCAACTCTGGGTCGCCCATCGACGCGGCGTACACAATTTTCGGTATCAGATTCGAACTAAATGCGATAATCATTGCCTGAAAAGCAGAAGAAGAATGGGATGATAACTTAGAAGAGCCACCGGCTTCGATTCATATTTTTATAGACTTACGCTCGAGGCTACGGCTATTCTAGTAACGACGGTCATAATACTGTGCCAAACTCCAATGTCGCGTGCCCGCATCCCAACGGGCCGTCGCACGAAGCGGAGCATTTTAATGGCGTCCAGTCGGACTTCAATCACATTATTTAGCAAGGCCAGAAGCGGGGCCAGGGGGAAGGCCAAGCTGAATAGTGTAATGAACCCGAACTGCACAACTGAAGGAGAAAATACATATAAGGTAAAATATGGCAAAAAAAAAACAAACTAAAACAGATAAAAACTAGAACGGAAAGCAAACTTCGGGTGGAGCATAAGTTGATATACCCTTGCAGTTAAACCCGGATATATATCGCAAAAATCGGATACATTTGGCCGATCCTTATGAGAATATCATAATATAACCAATTCATTACAAAACAAAATTTAAAAAAAGAGTCCCAAACTTCTATGTCTAAAAACACCAGTTAGTAGCATTTCTAGAGTTAGTTATATGGCTCCGAACAGTTATATGGCAGCTATAGGACATAGTCGGCCGATACCGGCCGTTTCGACTTATAGACTGCGTGTAAAACTGAGAGACTAGTTTGCGAAGAAAAAGACAGCCGGACAGACAGACGGACATGCTCATATTAACTCAGAAGGCGATACTGATCAAGAATATATGGATATATATACTTAATAGCGTCAAAGATGTCCCCTTCACTGCGCTGCAGACTTTTGACCAAAATTATAATACTCTCTGCAAGGGTATAAAAAACTGTAATAATCTCTCCAAGGGTACGAAACTATCAACTTTTAACAGAATTGTATGCCTGCATATATCCAACCATAGGCCCCTATTACTCCTTAAAATTATAGCTGATTAAATTTATTTTCAAAGGAAACTTACCCATTTCCAAATACTCCGCATAAAGAGAGTTATTTTCGGCGGGCAGGAGGTTATAGTCTTCAGTAAACTGGTTGTACGGCACCAGTCGCTGGTCCTTGTTGTTCTTGTACCAGCCGTGGCGATAGGTCAGCTCCTTGAAGGTGCGCATCAGATAAGGAATAAGCATCTCCACGATAGCGTTCACAGCTTGTTTGCCAGCCATTATGATGACCAGTTGCATGCAGAGCTCCATGAGGCAGCCGCCCGGATTGCACTCCTCCTGACGAAAGCCTAGGACGCGATTATACTTGGCCGGATAGCCGACAAACTTTCCCTTGAGGAACGCGATGTAGAAGAGCGAGGAGTAGTAGTTAACAAACTGGAATACGTAGTTCTTTATGGTCAGGCTCTCGTCGTACTCCGTCTGGGTGCGACAGTATTCGTAGTTGGTCAGTTTGACGGCGAGGCTGGAGTAAACCAAGTCCAGAAGGGAGATGACAATAAGGTCGATTATTCCCGCAGTCATGGGCAGTATCATAACTTTGAACGTCATGGAGTTTTCGTTGCCCAAAATGCTGTGCGAAGCGCGCTGCGCCATCCTGTAAATTATGATACCAGCGATGGCGATGATTGATATGCAAATCTATTGAAAGTCAAACGATAAACATCCAAACTCGGCAAAATTTTGAGTTAAACTTACGAACAATATCATTATGCTATAGCTGGTAAAATTTGGCAAGAACTTGATGCTCCAGAAGGGCACGTCGGGGTCCAGAATCGACCGTTTGCCATTCTCGTCCTGGAGCTCCGTCTTGCCAGACAGCTTTTCGGATCGCGATATCTTGGCCAGGTACTGCGGGCGCGGATGCTCGACATGGTGATTGAATCCGGTTAGACCCCAGCGGTGTACTAGACCCGCGGAGTACCGTTTCCAGAATTCCAGATAGGCCACGGCCCAAATCGACATCGCCAGGGCAAACACTACGGTCATGTTGTTGTCGATCAGATAGTTAAACTTCGAAGACGTACAGGTCTCATTTAACCTCCAATAATCACAGCTGCGGTCGCATTGTGGACACATGATGGTTCCGTTGTCGTTGCAGATATCCCGGCTAATCGGATCGTTACTCCATGTAAGAAATCCGTAGAAAAAGCAGAGTATTCCCAGCACACTAATGGGTATCAGCATCTGGGTGTAGAATCCTAGCCATGCAAAGTACAGAGCCACCTTGGCCCCAAAGTAGTCTTTGATTTGGTCCAGTGGTTGAAGGCTGCGAGAGATATTTCATCAAATCTTAGTTCGTATTTACACACGAGCTTAATAATCTCAATAAAACCGAATATTTCAAGTATAGATATATTTCAATATAATTCATATAAAATAAGATAAAAAATTACCCCAAATAAATAATCTTATTTAAATCTTGAATATGTGAACCAATTTCTTCAATATTGCCTATATAGGGACAAACCATAGACAAAACCATATGGTCATAGTTGTGACCGGACAAATCTTTCTTTACGTCGGCCAAACTGAAGAAGAACAAGAAAAGAAGTTTAGGCGGAGCCGAAGTTAAAATACCCTTGCAGTTAACATAGAATATATTTTGATAATAAGGCCGATTAGTGGGCCGATTCTTAATAGAATTTAATAATAAACTAATTTTTAAAACAACATTAAAAAAAATATTTCCAAGCCTCTATCTCAAAAAATACCGAAGTTGGTATTTTAACCAAACACTAAATACCATATCCGACCGGTCAGTTATATGTCTTAACTGATCCGCCGATCCTTATAAAACTTGGTAGGTCGGACCAATTGGCATAAAATAGAATCTGTAGAAAGTTCAAACCTCCTATCTTCTAAAACACGACAGTTGTTTGGCATTTATAGAATATAGTCGACTGATTCTTATGAAATTGGGTATATCGTATTACTTTGCCAAAACTAGAACCCATACAAAATTCCTCTAATTCTTTAATTCTAAAAAAAAAAGTGATGGAATAACTTTTCTATATGACATAACTTGCCAGTTATGGCAAGTCCAGGCCGTCCCTAATTATATACTGCGTGCAAAGGAAAGAAGGGTGTGTGCAATATTTCAAGTCGATAGCTTTAAAACTGAGAGCCTAGTTTGCGTAGAAACAGACACGGACATGCTCATAACAACTCAGGAGGTGATCCTGATCAAGACTATATACACTATAAAGGGTCGGAGATGTCTCCTATGCAGTACGCAGAAGTGTGCAACCCAGTACACTTTTGATCAAAATTATAATACCCTCTCTAAGGGTATATAAAGGAGCTGCAAAAATTTGTCATGATGTATAATGTCGCACCTCCCAGTACGACAGGAGAAACTCCAACGAAGATGATGTTCAGACGAACAATAAGGGATAATATATCCTAATAATATATATAAAATATCCCAGGAAATATACCAAATATTCGACGAAATAGTTGATTACAAAGAAAAAGACAGGGACATAGTCTAAATAGAAAAGAGATAGCAAATAGTGCCAGGAGATAAGGTTCTCATTAAAAACGTTATTTTCCCCACAAGCTCACCCCGACATTCGACCCGACAATATATAAAGTGACTAGAAGAGATGGAAATATAGCCGAAGTGACTTGAAATGGATAAAAATACACCAGGAACGTCATTCATCTGAAGAAGATTGAGCCACCTACGGAGACATCTCCGACCCTGTAAAGTATATAAATTCTTCATCAGGATCACCTTCTGAGTTAAAATGAGCATGTCCGTCTGTCCGTCTGTCTGTCCGTTTCTACGCGAACTAGTCTCTCAGTTTTGAAGCTATCGTCTTGAAACTTTGCACACACCCTTCTTTTCTTTGCACGCAGTATATAAGTCGGAACGGCGGATCGGCCGACTATATCCTATAGCTGCCATATAACTGATTGATCGGAAAGGTATAACTTTGGTGTTTTTAGAGTTAGAGAGTTCAAATTTGACACAAGAGCAAAATATTGCTTGGCTATTTTTGGCAAAATATTACGACATGCCAAATTTCATAAGGATCGGCCGACTATATCTTATAGCTGCCATATAACTGAACGATCGGAAATTACCCAACTTTCGTGTTTTTGAAGATAAAAAGCTGAAACTTAATACAGATTCTATTTTTGGCCAGTTGATCCAACCTACCAAATTTCATTAGGATCGGCCGACTATATTCTATAGCTGCTATATAACTGAACGATCGGAAATGATTTTTGGCAGAAATATCAACTTTCGTATTTTTGAAGATAAGAGCTTGGGACTTTTTTTAGATTTTTTATTTTAGTTAATTAGTTTTATTATGATGTAATCATAAGGATCGGCCAACTATATCCGATGTTTGCGATATATATCCGGTTTTAACTGCAAGGGTATATAAACTTCGGCTCCGCCCGAAGTTAGCTTTCCTTTCTTGTTAAATATGTTTTTATAAGCATCATAAACTATTTGAAAATATTTTGTTTAATTTATTCTTGTGTAGTTTAATACACTTTATAGCAGCCCAAAGTATGCATATAAAAAAAAAGGTAGGTCCCTGGCGCAGGTGATTTCGACTGCTAGAGTCATCCGAAACAAAAAATTAGAATAGATTATTGTTTTGTAGGCTTATGGCTCTGTCCCGTACTAGAATGAAATATTTTCATCAATAAAAAACAAAATGGCGAACTCACAAAACAAAAAATTAAAAAATTTATCTTAAATTAATGATAAAAAAAAAACTAATCATTAAAAATAAATGATTCTAGTACGGGACAGAGGTGTTACATTTTAAAACAACATATCTAAATTTCAGCTAGATCGGTACCATAGAATTTTTTGAATCACCTGCGCCGCACACAAAAATGTCGTTTCGAGAAAAACGCGTTTAAAGTTTAGACGCTACCGAGAAACTCATACTTTTCGGTGTAGGCGCGCTCTCGATTATGGGCTGTATCGCTGTCATTATTTGAGATTTTTATTTGAAACACTAACAGTACATTCTTAATAAACAGTACTTTCGAAATATGTGACAAAAAAAAAATCGATTTTTTCAACCTCACACATGAGACTACATCCTTAAAGCTATTGACTTGAAACTTTGCACACACCCTTCTTTCCTTTGCACGCAGTATATAAGTCGGAACGGCCGGGATCGGAAATGGTATTATGTTCTTTGGTATTTTTAGAGTTAGAGAGTTCAGATTTTGCATGATTGCTATTTTTGGTAAAATAATTAACTTCACTTACCAAATTTTATAAGGATCGGCGGACTATATCCTATAGCTGCCATATAACTGGACAATCGGAAATGACCCAACTTTCGTGTTTTTGAAGATAGAAAGTTGAATCTTCGTACAGATTTTTTTTCAGTCGATCCGGCCTATCAAATTTCATAATGATGGACCGTCTATATCTTATAGCTGCCATATAACTGAACGATCGGAAATGGTTTTTAGTAAAAATACCAACTTTTGTATTTTTGAAGATAGAAGTTTGAGACTTTGTTTTAAATTTATTGTAATAAATTAGTTATATTATAATATTCTCATAAGGACGGTCAACTATATCCGATGTATAACCTTCTTTTGCGTTTCAAAAAAACTTATCTCGGCCAAAACTTTTCTTTAATTTGTTCACCTATCTAGTTCCCAACTTATACTAAGTTGTAGGAAAGACGTTGTATCCTACTAAAATTTCTGTAGTTGGGTAAACAAAGTTTCCGAGAAGAAGCTCTGCTAAGCATAACATAAACAATGTATTTTCTTACTTCTTCCACTTGCTGACGTTGGCCCATTCCTTTAGTAAGCGATCGCGATCGTCTTTCTGCGAAATAAATAGGAGTCGTTACATAGGAGACACACATAACGAGGGCACAACCGTACTTACGTCGTGCAGAGTGTAGGCGCAAGAGTAGACCCCGTCCTGGACGAGCTTCTCGATGCCCAGGTTGTCGGCCATCTCTTCGCCTTCGACAAAATGCTGGCGCTGCAGAATAAAGTTGATAATAGAGTAGCGGGTACTGGCGTCGATGAAGTTTGGATGCTCCTTGTCGTACAGATCCAGGTAGTTACGGCTGAACTCAAGGTGAATGCGGCTCTCTCGTTCCGGGAAGAGTGCCGTGTTCAGCTGCACAGAGCTGAATAGGCTGCGACACATTCGCGTGAAGCAGGACTTGAACTCGTGCGCGGACTCGGCAAAGATTTGGTCCTCACCTGGAATGGGTTTCAGCGGCACCTTGATCTTGAGAATCTCGGCATAGCGGTAAAGCAACTCCGCCGGCGCATGGATCTTAATGAAGTGCACGCGCTGTACCTTGTTGTGCTCCAGCTGGAGGCCCTCCCGCCGCAAATTTGTCTCAAAGATTTCGCGCTTGCGCCGATGCTCCTCCAACTGGATCTCCCCATTGTAGGCAAGCACAAAGTCCACGCTGCGATTACCATCGTCGAAGCGTCGATACGTCTATACCGCATTCCGTAATAGTCCGTAGAGAGATCCGCAGATACAAAGAGAAAAAAAGAGAGAGCATTAGTATCTGAGCGAATGAAATACAACGAAAGTATCTTAAAAATACATTTGCTTATCTTAACTAAAACAAAGCGTGTGGGTGCGCGTGCTTCACTTCCCGGTGCCCTTGAGAGCTGATGGCGTATCACATCTTTACACCTAAGGTACAAGGCCACCAATGATTTGACCCCTGCCAAACACCCCCTTCACCATATCGGACTCCTCTTGCTCATCTTTGGAGCGCTGGAAGAACAGTAAGCCGCAGCACAGCATGGTGGAACCCGAAAACCAAAAGCGGCAAACAAACAACCGACGCGTCTTGGCTGGGAAACACAAATGAAATGGTGCTGGTGCCGGTGCTGGTGCTTGGCGTCATCTGCTCTCAGCTGTGACGGCTGCCGGAACACATGACACATACACTTAATACGTTAACGGTGATAGGCTCCAGCCTGCCCCGGACCGTTCTTAGTGTTAAGAGTTACATGAGGTATACAAAATTCGCAAAAAGTGTTCATACTCAATCCGGCAAGCAAACTATAGGAATCGGAAAAATATAAACAAACAAACAAAGAAAAGCGAGCGGTAAACAAGGCGGCAAGAACTCGATCACATTGAACTTGATTAAAAGTAATTTAAGGACTGGATGCGGATTAAATGATACATCAGAGTGAGCAGTGATCCCTTCCAGGGCCTCCTTTTATGGCAAGTTAGCTGCCATTTCAGGGAGTTTAATCTTTAAAAAGTTAAACGTATGTTCTCAAAAATATAAAAAAGATACCTTTTTTGTGATTATTACTAACAGATATAAGTTCTTCGGATTATGAAGGAGCTTTGGTATTTAGTTGTGCTAAATTTTTAATCAAATCGGATAAAATTATTTTGAACTATTTTAAGTTGTTGTTCGCCGATATTTAAAAATCTTACTTTTGAGTAAAAAGTCTAAAGATTTTTTTAGTAAGCACTAAAACATCTGATATATCTTTCAATATAAAATGCATAAATATTCAAACCCTTCTCATGCACTTGTGTATGTACATATCTATATGGGGTTTATAATTAATATGGTTTCTGATTAGGGCAAATCCAATTCAGCATCGGAAAAATAAAATTTTCATAAAGCCACATTTTCTTATTATACCCTTGCAGAGGGTATTGTAATTTTGTCCAAAAGTGTGCAACGCAGTGAAGGAGACATCTCCGACCCTATAAAGTATATATATTCTTGATCAGGATCACCTCCTGAGTTGATATGAGCATGTCTGTCTGTCTGTTTCTACGCGAACTAGTCTCTCAGTTTTAAGGCTATCGACTTGAAACTTTGCACACACCCTTCTTTCCTTTGCACGCAGTATATTAGTCGGAACGACCGGGATCGGCAGACTATATCCTATAGCTGCCATATAACTGATTGATCGGAAATGGTATAACTTTGGTGTTTTTTGAGTTAGAGAGTTCAATTTGACACAAGAGCCGACTATATCCTAAAGCTGCCATATAACTGAACGATCGGAAATTACCCAACTTTCGTGTTTTTGAAGATAGAAAGCTGGAACTTAGTACAGATTATATTTTCGGTCAGTTAATCCGACCTACCAAATTTCATATCGATCGGTCGACTATATTTTATAGCTGCCATATAGCTGAACGATCGGAAATGGTTTTTGGTAGATATACCATCTTTGGTATTTTTGAAGATAGAAGTTTGGGACAACTATATCCGATATTTGCAATATATATCCGGTTTTAACTGCAAGGGTATATCAACTTCGGCTCCGCCCGAAGTTAGCTTTCCTTTCTTGTTAAAATTTTTGTTTAGTCCTAACTGAAACCCAAGAGTAAAGTATGTTTGATCGTACTGGTTAAATGTTTATATTTTCCAGAACTCTCGAAATAAATAATAACAGAAATCTTATGCCTGAGAAGGTATAATAATTCTGCCCGTTAAATTTAGAAAATTATGTTTAATTTGGGAGAGAAAGGATCAGAGCGCTGTTGGTTTCGCGAACATGTAATTAAGAAACCTGCCTAAACTGTCCATAGTTGTTATGGATTTTAATACTTATACCTCAGTTTTTACAGAATATTTAAAGATACAGAGATATCACAGCCCACGACCGAAAATTGAAGTTTACAAATGAGGACTAAAAATAGCAATAAGGATGAAAATGTAGATATAAATGGTGAAGTCGATTTGTTGTGCTGGTAAACACGTTGAGAGGTGTGACAAGATGGAACAGCAACAGCCGCGCAAACATGGGGATATTCGAGTTTCTAATGCGAAAGCAGAGCGAAAGCGGTTGTAATTTGTCTAGGTGCGAAGTAATCGTCGTGGCAATTGCATTTGGGTTTTGAATCGAATAGTAATGTTACTGTTGTTGTTTACCCTCGATTTCCACTGGGAGTATGTTATTGGCAATTTCTTATCTTTATTAGAAATGGTGCTACTATTTCTTAAAAGACGTCTAGAGACCTCATCGTCACCACATCCTGCGTCAGCGCCGCCAGAGCCGTTTCTGCCGTGTCCGCCACCTACGCCCACACCGATCCCGGTGGATAGGTGGCCGCGTCCGTTCTGAAGGGCCAGGATTTGAGCGGTAATGGCCGCATCCGTGTGGTCACCACCGCCTCCCGTTTCTCTTAGGTGCTCAAGCGCTGTTGACTGGCGGTAGCCAGGCTGCCATGCCAAAACCGCGTTCTCAGCAGCGCCCAAACGAAGACTGTTACGTCCTTCGTTGTCGGCCAAGTCAACCGCCGAGTGGTATATGGTGTTCCTTGACTGGGACATCGACTTGCGGTGCGCGGCGGCCGCCTCAGAGTCGGCCAGAGAAATTGTGTCAAAGTATAGGCTCTCCCGTTCGTCCATCTCAGATTCGGGATACTCGTAGTCGTAAGTGCGGACTGCAACAAAGGGCATGGAGTGATTAGTCGGCTGGAGTAACAGCAGAACAGTGGTTTGAGGCAGATGAGGTGGCATGAGTGAAGAAGCGATAAGGCGGTGGTGAAAAATTTAATTGCTAAATGAAATGCCAATTACACTTACTTGGACGTTAAAACTGATAGGGGTTGTGCAATTAAAAAAAGTATTAGGGTCAGTTATTCTTAATTTTTAAGTTACCGGTGAACTTTTTAAAATTTTTAAAAAGCTTTGAAACTTTTATAAAAAGAACCCATGATATTACAAAGATTATTTTCGAATAGTTGTTTTGTATTCTGCCCAATCTAAGCTTTAATCCGATTTGGAGCTTGGCGAACTTTGACTTTTTATAATCTGTAGTTGAACATTCAGTTATTGTTCTTAATATTTTCCACCTATCGCCCGTATGTTTTCATTTACATTTGACGTGTAATTTAGATACGGGGAGCAACAGCATGCTCCGTGGCATTCATTTAAGGAAATCAAATAAGAAACCCAGAGCCTAAGTCGCGTTAATTTGTGTGCCGAGGGTAGCGAATACCATCTTAAATTTATTACCGATAAGCTTATAAATGCCGATAATAGAGCCCCAGTGGGGATAATTTTATTTGATGGCTCGTTGGCCCACGGGCCGTCTTCGTCGGAAAGGCCAGCTGTTCCCATGGCCACTATTTTAGGTTATTTAAATGCGGTCAATTACATAATAGTCCGATATAGCGGTAGGTCTACTATCTGAACTACAAATAGACGTGATGATGAATTAATGTACGCACTATGCGGCTAGTCAGCTGCAACTGATGGTCCGCTCCCGGTGCACAGTTCCATTGGAGCGTTGGACCAAAACAAAAAGAGAAACTAATTCCAAACTCATCAAACTAAAGATAAAACAAAATGCTCTCGGCTACAAAACAGAAACAGTTTCAAAAAATCCAATATACACGAAAAAGAACACAATTTGCATAACAGAGAGAATGAGAATGGGTACAAGTGATGAAATTTATTAAGAAGTTAACTTATTTACCCGCCGAATACATTGTTGGGGGCAGAGGAGGTGGTGATTGTCTGAGTAACCCCTCAAGGAATCACTCGGCTAGTGGAATCCTGGGAGCTAGCTAATCCGTACTGCTGCTTTCTTTAGCGAATCCTTGCGATCGAGGTTGCGGCTCATTCGACAATTTCCAGACTTTCAGAGGCCGGTTCCGAAGCATTACGTTTAACGACTGGCGGTAGCGGAGAGTGTGCTTGATTCGGAATCGCCTTTTGGTTTCGACCATCGGATCGGATCGCAAACACAAAACAAATACAAACAAACGAAAATGTAAACCCAGGCAAAATAATACATAAGCCCCTACACACTGAACGATCTGATCTAACGCGAATGATGTCAGAGGGGAAATACATATAAACGCTGAGCCGCCGAAAAGAAATGCGTACATACGATCGCGTTGGCTGCCGTCTACAAAAAAAAGTACAGAGACAATAATAATACCAGAACGCATAAATTCTTTAAGCCTTTCCAGTCACCCATTCAGCATGCCAGACCCGCCAATCAGCCAACCAACCAGCTAACCAAACTGAGCAACTCTGGCATTGCCGGCAACTAGTACAATAAACTGATTCCCCAAAAAGGAGTGCAGCGAGATGTGACGTTGCACAGTGTTACACATGTTGAGGGAATTATTTTAGTTTATTTATTTTGTTACACTTTCTAATTTTTTGTTGTAACTTGAATGAATTTAAGACCAAATTTTGGTATCAGCCAAATGTATGTATATCATTAAAAAACAAGATAGGAAAGCTAACTTCGGGCGGAGCCGAAGTTTATATACCCTTGCAGCTAAAACCGGATATATATCGCAAACATCGGATATAGTTGGCCGATTCTTATGAAATTTGGTAGGCTGGATCAGCTGACAAAAAATATAATCTGTATTAAGTTCCAGATTTCTATCTTCAAAAACACGAAAGTTGGGTCATTTCCGATCGTTTAGTTATATGGCAGCTATAGGATATAGTCGGCCGATCCTAATGAAATTTGGTAGGTTGGATCAACTAACCAAAAATAGAATCTGTATTAAATTCCAGCTTTTTATCTTCAAGAACACGAAAGTTGGGTCATTTTCGATCGTTCAATTATATGGCAGCTATAGGATATAGTCGGCCGATCCGGGCCGTTCTGACTTATATACTGCGTGCAAAGGAAAGAAGGGTGTGTGCAAAGTTTCAAGACGATAGCTTTAAAACTGAGAGACTAGTTCGCGTAGAAACAGACAGACAGACGGAAAGACGGACATGCTCATATCAACTCAGGAGGTGATCCTGATCAAGAATATATATACTTTATAGGGTCGGAGATGTCTCCTTCACTGCGTTGCACACTTTTGACCAAAATTATAATACCCTCTGCAAGGGTATAATAAAACCAGCTCCACATAAACCCACGTACGAACACAAATTCATATTCAAAAATAGTTCAAGGCACGCAAAATTTAAGTAAAAGGAAGTGGAAGAACGACACTCTTCCAAACGAAGATAATGAACCATTTAGACACGGGAGGCAACCAAATTTATCACACATTTAAGGGAACAGGGTAGCGTTTATTGCAAAATGTTAGAAAAAGTATGTGTGACGTAGTCCCAAGGTGTAATACATCGACATTTGACACGTTCCTCTATTTTTAGAAAAATTCACTGCCCACAATTATCAAAATGATGTTTCGTCTTCCGGAGGGTATTGGCCGGAAAAGGACCGGGGTTAGTATCAATGCTGCGTTAATGGGTTCCAAGCAAGTTAGTTCCTCCAGTTAGTTCCAGTCTCCACCTGAACTCACCTGTTGGTGATTTGCCTCAGTGCTTCCTGGAGTCCATTTCTACTTAATACTAATACCTATAACCGCTCTGCTTCAACAAAAATATTGGTGGGCACGTTTCGCCAAACCAATTTTTATAACAACAAACGCCAATTCCCGAAACGTTGCGGTCACTAGAGCTGGTATAATTGCCACTTCTAATATATCGATTATTTTTCAATATTTGTTAAATAACGGTTATCGTTTAAAATGAAAGTTTTGAAAATGCAATGAACATATTATAACTTCAAAAGTACAAATAATTGGGCCCAAATAAATGTTCTAAAAAACATTGAATGAATTTGACAATTTTAATTCTTCTGGTCATGCCAAACAAAGTGTGGAAAACTCATGACATGATGGACTTGATATCGATGTTTTTGAGACACTTTTTTTGCCTTCTCTAAAACATGTCAGATGTTTTTTTTACAAATTTTATAAAGTGTAATAAGTTTCTGAAAACGATCGAAACTGCGCAGATGAGGCAGCATCATGGTGTATATCGACCATAGTAAGAGATATTTTTCATATTTAATGCAATGTGTGTTATTTTTTTGCTTTAAAACAGATGGCCGCGTGTGGGAGAAACGACCCTGGGATTGGAGACGAATAGTTAAATTGTTTTTGGGGATATGGTTTGCCATCAAGCATTTGTAAGTTTGGAAAGCAAAACTAATTACATGTCAGCGTATATACATAATTTTTGAAATTTTATCTTAGGCTTGCGAGCTTCCTTGCACCTTTTAACAGCAACGATAACTACAATTCTCAACGCAGAAATACCTGGGACAGGTGGGGTGGAGGTGGAGGTGGTGGTGGTGGTGGAGGAGGTGGCGGAGGAGGTGGCAGTGGAGGTGGGGGTGGAAGTGGATACAGCGCTGGCAACGGAGGACTAAGACCCAACCAGCGAATAGGGCGAATTCAAACCATGACCTGCAATGCACCTGCTGCGGGCGGCTGAGGATAGTAGCGATGTCCAGTCCCATCTATTGGGCGGATGTCGCGCCAATCCAAAGATGATCATGTTAAACTGCTTCACCATGACCCGGCCGTGACGTTCCATTTCGTCCCTGTGACGTTTATGACGTGGTGTTTCTAAACTCTAAGCTGAGCGGAATACTGCCAAACAATGGATCAGTGATTCCTGGGTTGCAGTACTAGGTCGTCAACTTTTTAACCACCATTTATGGTTAAATTTATCATTTTTATATCGAATGTTTATTTTATTAATTGTTTGTAATATTGTAATATTAGCATCAATTTATATGTACTTTTTTCCAATACCTATAAATATCCTATTCTAAAAATAATACCTGCAGATATTCCTATATAATATGCAATACCCGCTTGTAAAAATAAAGGTTTAGTGCTATTAGACTTATAACAAGCCCTTTGTTGTATTGCCATGGGTGGAATGCAATTTATTTTTATACAAGCTTTAACATACGTTCAAACAACCTTTATTGTCGGATTTGAACCAACCAAAAATTACCTTCAAAATACCTATGTACTTTTATTAGCTTAAGCATAGTACTGAGTTGACGAAAATCCGCTGTCGAACGAGTGACAGCTGTCAAACTCCATATAAAACAAGAAAGGAAAGCTAACTTCGGGCGGAGCCGAAGTTTATATACCCTTGCAGTTAAAACCGGATATATATCGCAAACATCGGATATAGTTGGCCGATCCTTATGGGAATTGGAAAATATAATCCAATTTATTACAATACAAAATCTAAAAAAAGTCCCAAACTTCTATCTTCAAAAATACGAAAGTTGATATTTCTACCAAGTACCATTTCCGATCGTTCAGTTATATGGCAGCTATAGGATATAGTCGGCCGATCCTAATGAAATTTGGTAGGTCGGATCAACTGACCAAATATATAATCTGTACCAAGTTCCAGCTTTCTATCTTCAAAAACACGAGTTGGGTCAAAGATGGGTCATTTCCGATCGTTCAGTTATATGGCAGCTATAGGACATAGTCGGCCGATCCTTTACGAAATGGCATGTCGTATTATTTTACCAAAAATAGCTCTCACCTAAAATTTGAACTCTCTAACTTCAAAAACACCAAAGTTATACCATTTCCGATCAATCAGTTATATGGCAGCTATAGGATATAGTCGGCCGATCCGGACCGTTCCGACTTATATACTGCGTGCAAAGAAAAGAAGGGTGTGTGCAAAGTTTCAAGACGATAGCTTTAAAACTGAGAGACTAGTTTGCGTAGAAACAGACAGACGGACAGACAGACAGACAGACAGACAGACGGACAGACGGACAGACGGACATGCTCATATCAACTCAGGAGGTGATCCTGATCAAGAATATATATACTTTATAGGGTCGGAGATGTCTCCTTCACTGCGTTGCACACTTTTGACCAAAATTATAATACCCTCTGCAAGGGTATAAAAAAACGGTGTAAAAAAGGAAAGAAGAAGAAATTTTTGCCTTCTAGATTTTGCGGGTACTGAGTTGACGAAAATTTTTTTTATCGATTTTAATCGTGTTGCCGGATCAAAAAAATAAACAGCTGCTCTCGGGGAGTTAAAAGAAATATTTTCATTTATTTCTTTAGGTGTGACATGGAGGGAAAATTGATGAAAAGAAAATATAGTCGGCCCGAAAAATTTTCGACGTGCCAGGACAAATTAAAATTAATTTCTGCGGTCAAGGCGAAGCCCATAATATGGGATTTGACCCACAAGGGACATTTTAATGCCATAAAATGGCATTGAAATGATTTGTAATTGATTTGGATTTTGATTTTGACCCAGTTTTCTATTTCTTAATCAGCTTCTTAGCGGCGAAATACATAAACAAAACACCAACATCCAATCGTTTTAAATTCATTTTTGCTTGTTTTTTGTTTACAAACAACAGCTGTTCAGTATTACCTTATTTCTTCATTTTTTTGGTCACACTAGCTCGGTAGTTGAATAAAGTGCAAAATCGCTATCAGAATTTCAACAGCGGATTTTCGTCAACTCAGTACTACGCTTAAGGAGCTGATTAAGAAAAAGACAACTGGGTCAAAATCAAAATCAAAATCAATCACAAATCATTTCAATGCCATTTTATGGCATTAAAATGTCCCTTGTGGGTCAAATCACATATTATGGGCTTCGCCTTGACCGCAGAAATTAATTTTAATTTGTCCTGGCACGTCGAAAATTTTTCGGGCCGACTATATTTTCTTTTCATCAATTTTCCCTCCATGTCACACCTAAAGAAATAAATGAAAATATTTCTTTTAACTCCCCGAGAGCAGCTGTTTATTTTTTTGATCCGGCAACACGATTAAAATCGATAAAAAAAATTTTCGTCAACTCAGTACCCGCAAAATCTAGAAGGCAAAAATTTCTTCTTCTTTCCTTTTTTACACCGTTTTTTTTATATGGAGTTTGACAGCTGTCACTCGTTGGACAGCGGATTTTCGTCAACTCAGTACTATGCTTCAGTACCCGCAAAATCTAGAAGGCAAAAATTTCTTCTTCCTTTTTTTACTCCGTTTTTTTTATATGGAGTTTGACAGCTGTCATTCGTTCGACAGCGGATTTTCGTCAACTCAGTACTATGCTTTAAGTAATAATCGCCCAATAAATATTTTAGATGTTAAATCAACACAACACAAATTCTGATTTCGGAACTCTTGGTTGAAGTTTGGCCTTTTAGAAAGATTTTTACAAGTTTCGTATAATTTTTTAGATATCAAGCTTATTAGCTCTTCAGTAGCTATTTGCAACACATTAAGTTTATTAGAAAACGTTTAGTTTGATTTTGTTGAAACAAATTGTTTGAGGTAGTAAGCTTTAACAAAACTAAAATCGTTTAAGTAAGTTTTTGGCCATTTTTTTTTTTACCTACTAAATTTTTCAATTCAGCGTTGAAAATAATTTAAAATACTGACGATCCATAGTATTTTATACTAAAAAGTTATTGAAAAATACCAAGTAGCCCTCGTTCGTCCATCTCTAATAAACCACGTCAAGTTGTGTATACAAATAGTCAAAAATCCAGCAATATTAGAAGTAAATTTCCAAAGCCAGAACGGTTTCGAGATTTCTAGGGCAGAATGGTGTACATTGATCACAGTAAGGATGCGCCTTCTTTTAAACGGTCACTTACTGATTCCTGTGTTTTCTTGCAGATGGTCGCCTTTGGGAGAAGCGCCCTTGGGATATGCGGCGCATTTTAGCCATATTTGTGGCTATCTGGTTTGCTATTAAGCAATTGTGAGTAATTAAAGCGGCTACCAAATAATACTCTTCGCTAATGTGATATTATTAGGTTCCAATCGTTTGTGGCTCCTTTCAATAGCGACGACAATAACGGCGATTCCCGCCGAAGAAGCGGGTGGAGCAGCAGTAGTTGGGGTGGTGGAGGCGGTGGCGGTGGCGGGGGCGGTAATGGTAGAGGATTTGGTGGTTATGGAGGATTCAGACCAAACCGGAGAATTGGACGAATTCAGCCAACTCAGACTTGCAGTGCAGGCGGTTGTTGCGGTTCTTAAAACTGAATCATGTCAAGCAAACGAACACAATTAAGATAGAAAAAACGTTTATTCCCCTGCTAAGGTCCACATTCCCTTGGACTGGCCGTCGGACCTAATAGGTTCTAAGTGATGCACCTGTATAAAATCAATAAAAAAAAAATTATCAAATTTAGGTTTTTTTTTAAAAAAGAATTTTTTATTTTTTCTTGTTGAATTCATAATTTATTTTTACAATGTATTCATTAAAAAACTATATCATTCTTGAATTCCCAACCCAAAAAGCGAAAGCAGTGTGAAGTAAGTTTGAAGGCGTACTATATGCTGATGGGTAGGAGGTCGAAGCTAAGGACCTCTTCGAAAATCCTAATCTACAAGGCGATTATTTGGCCAATTTGGACATACGGATCCAACTTTGGGGCACGGCCAGCAAGACTAATATTCAGACTATCCAGACGTTTGAAAATAGAGCCCTCCGTATCGCCACTGGGGCCCACGTCTACCACGACAACCAGACAATCCACGAGGCGCTTGGCTTCCCATGGGTGAAGGAGGAGATCCAGAGAAGCAGCAGCAAGTACATCCAGAGACTACACAACCACCCCAACGAGTTGGCGATCATAAACTTCTTGAAGATAGAAGTTTGGGACTTTTTTTTTAGATTTTGTATTGTAAAGCATAGTATTGAGTTGACGAAAATCCGCTGTTGAAATTCTGATAGCGATTTTGCACTTTATTCGGCTGCCGAGGTAGTGTGACCAAACAAATGAAGAAATAAGGTAATACTGAACAGCTGTTGTTTGTAAACAAAAAACAAGCAAAAATGAATTTAAAACGATTGGATGTTGGTGTTTTGTTTATGTATTTCGCCGCTAAGGAGCTGATTAAGAAAAAGAAAACTGGGTCAAAATCAAAATCAATCACAAATCATTTCAATGCCATTTTATGGAATTAAAATGCCCCTTGTGGGTCAAATCCCATATTATGGGCTTCGTCTTGACCGCACTAATTAATTTAAACTTATCCTCACGCGCCGAAAATTTTTCGGGCCGACTATTTTTGGGTTTGGTCAATTGACCCTCCATGTCACACCTATAAAAATAAATTGAAATATTTCTTTTAACTCCCCGAGAGCAGCTGTTTATTTTTTTTGATCCGGCAACACGATTAAAATCGATAACAAAAGTTTTCGTCAACTCAGTACCCGCAAAATCTAGAAGGCAAAAATTTCTTGTTCTTTCCTTTTTTACACCGTTTTTTTTATATGGAGTTTGGCAGCTGTCACTCGTTGGACAGCGGATTTTCGTCAACTCAGTACTATGCTTAATAAATAAATAAAATAAATTGGTATTTTTATGATATTCTTATTAGAATCGGACAACTTTATCCGATTTTTAGTTTTACATCAACTTTGGCTCCGCGCGAAGTTAGCTTTCCTTTCTTTTTAAAGTTTAATAATAACATAAATAATTGAAAATTAAAATTAAAATTGAAATTATTTATTAAAATTTTCTTGAATTAAAATAATAAAATTTGAGCGGTAATATTTCAATGGTTTTTGGCCACTCTGGCGTGACGTAACCTAGATCTTGGTCACACCAAATAACCGAGTCAGCTGAAAAAAAAAACAGATGCGGCGCCTGGTACGAAGTTGGAATGACCGATTGTTACTCAATGCCGGTTACGGGAAATATATCGCCAGACATGCGGGCAGCCAGCAACAGATCAAAACCAACAAGGAACATGTGGGCGACGCAGAGAGCAATGGACACGGGGCAAAGCACTGCATGAACCTGGTTAAGTATGTAAAAATCGACCGTTTTGTCTACAAGCATATTTCAAAAAAGTGTCTTTTAGAAAATACGACTACGAAAATTATCTGAGTACACTGCTGCTTCCCCGTGAGTTGCGACGAGCAGCCTTTGCTCTACGGGCTTTTAACGTAGAGATTTCCAGATCAGTCAGCGGAAAAGTAAGCAAATGGCGGTAACTTAAATCCTGCATACTATTTTAGTTTGAACAGGTTAAAACGATCGCTTGTGTTGTTCCATCGGCTTACTTTACGCAAGCCAGCACATGTATATGTGCTCAGCACAGGACCAAAACTTATAGATTACATCATTAAATGGATAGGATCTGCTTGCCTTGCCTTTTGAATTAAAAAAAAATACAGAATTTTCTATATCTGGATATTAATGAAAGTGCTGTTTTTTCAGACCATTGAACCGCAAATAGGAAAATTGCGTCTCAAGTTCTGGTATGACTCCATTAACAAGTGCTTTGAAGAGGACTCCCAAGGCTCCTACATAAAGGACCAACCCGTGTTACGCGAGCTGAAGAACACAGTCGGCACCCGAAAGCTAAGCAGGATCTACCTGCGGCGTCTGGTTACAGCTAGAGAACGCCCTGTCAACAAAGCCTTTGAATCCCTGAAGGAACTGGAAGAGTATGCCGAACAAGCCTTCTCCTCACTGCTGCACTTGCTGGTGGAAGTGAGCGAAGTGCGCGACGTACAGGTTGACCATGCAGCCTCCCATTTGGGCAAGGCGCAGGGCATCGCCACTCTTTTGCGGGCCGTTCCCCTTGCTGGTCGAAAACAGGTTGTTTGTGTGCCGATAGAGGTACTCATTCGGCACGGCGTCAGTCAGGAGCGAATCATCCGTGGCGAGAGTGGAGATAAGGGTGTGGAGGAGTGTATCTTCGAGGTGGCTAGTGCTGCGAATACGCATCTTACCTTGGCGCGGCAGTTGCATGATCAGGTCCCGCGGCTGGTGCGAAAGATATTTCTCTCCGCTGTTTCTACAGAAGGCTATCTGGAGCGTTTACGGCGCGCCAATTTCCAGTGAGTTTTATTCTACATAAATTGAAAAAATTCAAAAAATATATTGTTTTTAAAACAGTTTTAGTTTTTCTGTTTAAGATTTTTTTAAATTTATTTTTATTTTCTTCTAAATTTAAGTTTTAATTGGTTTTTTTTATAGAATTGTTATTTATGCAGAATAAGTATATATAATATATATTAAATATAGTAATTTTATGTCTTAATTTTCCATAGATTGACCCACAAAAGCTGCGTTGGACGGGACTCCATGCTGCCGGCTCGACTCTTGTGGAAATCACTCTTTAATCGGTTCTAATGTCAACTTTGTTTCTTTATTCAACTTTATTTCAACTTTAGTATCAGTTTTAATAGAAGTGATCTATTCACTTCAGAAAATAAATCAGTTAAAATTACTCTTGGTCCTAAGATGGAACTTGCTTCCCTTTCAGGTAATTAAACCACAATTTAATTGCGGAAACTTTTGTTTTTAATGGTAGTGGTAATGGTAATGGTATGTTCTTTAAATAAGTAAGATGGTTACTATTGCTTTACTCTTAATAATATTTGAGCCAGTCAAAAAATTTATTTCGAGATTTCGTCTTGAAACGATGCCCTAAAACAGATCTGGAACTAGTACAGAACCTCCTGCGCATGATCCAGCTGATCCTCATGTTGCATTACCCAACACTGAAATACCTTTTTCGAATCAGTGCTGTAGTTTTCCTTCAATTGCGAGCAATACCCGCGCACTTTTTGACCTCGTTCAGAGCGCAGTTTTATTTTTTTTTATGAATGTTTGAAGTGATGTTGAAAGTGTGTATTGAAATTTAAAAAAGCGGATTGTCCCGCAAATCGCTCAAGCATAATAACCGATTAGATCGAGCCCGTGCGCTTCTACGTACTTATTTGGCTGGTAAGTTTGTGGTCATAATTCAAACCTTAATACATGGTATTGATTCTAATTTTCATAGTTGGCGGGGCAGCTTTTAAAGGGGTTCTCCCTGCAAGTAACGGTATTCGGGCACGCCGTCCTTTTCGCACATAGCGAAAGAAAGACAAAAAAAAGGAGATCGCAAGTGTTCGACTTAGTGTGTATATATGTCTCTCTTGTTGAAGTAAATAGAAGGAAAAACGGTACTTTACACTGCATTCCGTCAAAAAATTTTAGTACCAAAAGTGAAGAGACGTTCACCTCGAATGAAATGAACTAAACTATTATAAATAAATAATCTAAAATAATGAGATAAAAAAATCTAAAAACTAAAAAAAAAGAAAAAAAATTAAAAAGTTTAACGAAAAAAATTGCGTACAAACAAAAAATATTTGCAAAAATAAAAAATTTTTAAAAAAGGCGCAAATTAAAATAAAAAGAATTATATATTGTTTCAAAAACAAGAAAATCCGTTCAAAAAAATCGAATTTTAGCCTAAATTAAATTTATTTCTTAGCCGTTTCAAGCAATTATTTATTGCAATAAAAGCTTTATCTGCGAAAAGGGGAATTGATATTTCTGTGGATATTAATTGGCTATGCATGCAACTTTTGTAGCCAGCAAAATGAAGATCTTTGCAGCAGACGTTGTCGTTGATAGCAGCAAGCCAGCATCCACGTCCGTTCAGCAGCAGAAGCTAACGCAGCAGCAGCGTGAGTTTCGGCAGCGGCTGTCCGCCGGGTCGCCAATCCCAAAGACGGGGCAGTGCCAGCTTAAGTTCCCCAAATACAACGGCAAGACCGGCCATTTGCTGCGCCAGGTGACAAGCTACCATAACAACAACAACAGCGGCAGCAACAACAACAACATTGGCGAAGTCAACAAGCAACATCAGTCTAACCATTACAGCAACAACAGCAGCTCTATGGCACGCAAAAAACACTTTGACAACACCAACAACAATAACAGCGAGCAGCAGCAACAATCTTCATACTATCAGCCTCAGCAACACCAGCTAAACAATAACAACCACAACAATAATAACAATTTGTTAATGAAGAATAAAAATATAATTGAGCAACCAATACCTGATTGCAAGATTAGTGACAGCAACAGCAGCAAGATGCAAAGTAAGCCAGTAAAATGGCTCAACGGCAGCAGCAACAGCACCAAAATTAACGTCAATTGCAACATCAGCTGCAGCAACAATAACAAGAAGCGCAACTCGCTTCCCACATCAGCAGAAGTAACTTCTGCCTATTACCGGGGTTGTCCCAGCTCCTTAAACTGCGAACTCGCTGAAGAGTTGGAAGCAACTTCAAAATCATCCACCGCGGATCCGAATACGACCCATGGAAGTCATCCAGCTTCGAAGCCTAGCCAACCCAAAGAGCCTCGGGTGGAAGCGGAAGAGCTAGTGGCCGTGGGGTTCAGGCGCAAGGAGCAGGAACAACTTACTCAAGAAGCGACTAAGCAGCGACCCCTGCAGCAACAGCCACTGAGCTTCTGGAAGACAAACTACTCGCAGCCAGCGGAAAATCAAATTAAAGATGTAAGCAAGTATACCTATGCACTCCATTCCGTTCAATTTCAACTGTGCTTGGCTCAGTTTAGTAAAGTTTACTTATATGATACATTATAGTCAGAAGGTACATTCATAGTCAGAAGGTACATTTTTTTGTAAGATCCCCTTTCGTAGGTTTTAAACATTTGGATAAACTTATAATACCAGTAAGCAAGATCAATCAATCGATTAAAGAAATATTCATTTTTAGAAGCAAGTGATTCCACCACCAGTGTCACGATCTGCTGATCATCAGCAACAGCAGCAGCAACGGCCGCTATCGTTTGAACATAGACGTAACTCCGGATACCACTCACATCAGCAGCAGAATTACTATCAATACTATTATCCGCAGCCGAAGCAGTTGACAATCGCCTCTTTCTTGCAGAAAGAGCTATTTCCCGATAGTAGTGACGCAAGCAGTCAACAGAACGGTAGTGGAACGGCAACTGGTAATGGCACCAACAATGCCAATGCCAGTGCTAACAACAACGTTTTGCGGCAGCAAAACACACACCAGTCTGTGGGATCAGACTATTCGTCGCAACGGTACCGCAACTCCCATTATGCCCAGTACCAGCAATACCAGCATCACCACAATCCACAACATCACCACCCACATCAGTACGGGATGAACTCCTCGCACTTCAGGCGTAAGCACGCTGATAGCCATGGACAAAGCTGCAACAACAACAAGAAGGCGCCAGGTATGTACATCTAGGACACTTCTGGCAATTAAATCGAAGGATTTTAACTATTTAAAATTAAGACATTTTAATTTAGAGGAGAGAGAAGATGCTATTATTACGTTCCTTCAATTCAAAAAACATTTCGATTCGATTGAATTCTAAAAAAATGCCTCTATTTCAACGATCGAAAAATCTTTGTTTCCTTCGATTTTTCTTTCGTTTACCAAAGTCAGTGTAGGTCTTCACATTCATTTCAGAATATGAAATAGGCAGATCAATATTTGAATCATGGTTTTACTACCGAAATTTAGATCCGCAAATACAAGGTTTTTCGTTTGCAAGTGTACCAATGTTCATTCAAAAGCAGTTTTTATACCCATCAGCAACTCTTGAGGTGGACCTGAGCAAATCCATTTATACTTCGTGGGGTTAGAGTTGAAATCATCACATCTTCACATTATTGAGGGCAATATAAGAAATAGTGTTTCCAAACTTAGGTATCAGTACTCTTAAAACTGAAAAAATAACGGAAAGAAGACTGATTTCGTTCTGATCAAAAATATGTACATGTGCTTTATATAGTCGGAGATGTGTCCTTCATATCTAAGGACAAAACTGTATAACAGTCTCAAAAGTATAAAAATGTTCCACCCCAGGCGGCTTTGAACTTAACGTGTTAAATAGAAATCAAGCTTTAGTTTATTGCAGAGGTCGGCACGGCCCTATCTCGGGGGCATAGGAAATTTCTCTGCCCAAGCTCTGCCACACACACACAGTATGCATGTGTGAAACGTCATGCTTACAGCCTACTTTCTGCTATTCGTTACTAACACTAATGCGGTAAAATCATATCAATGTATTGGGGTGCCGACCACTGGTTTATTGTAACGATATCGTCGAAGGAGATGAAACACAAGGAATAACATTTACAATATCTTCAGATAAGAAAACAATGTCGTTCAAATTAATTAAAAACTGAAATTGAGTTTATTAGTTGTAAAAAAAATTATTTCCACATACGTTACGTTGGCTTCTGGAAGTGAGAAATAATATGCTCTTGTTATATGTATCCAGGTGGAAGCGGCGAGTCGTATAAACAGCATCCGCACCAAATGGAGCTACAGAACACTATCGAGATCCTAGCCAGCAGCAACGTGAACGCCATGCATCGGCGCATGCATGGAGGCGAGGGAAAAAACGGATATTACCAGCACTACCATCCCCTCATGGCAGAACACCAAAACTTATACAATCTCACCTACATCAATGTGGATATTTCAGTGCCTAGTAGCGATCCAGCCATAGGAACTGAAGCAGGATTAGGCACCGGAGCCTCAGCAGGTTCGAAGCAGCTAGGCGTCAAGTCCTCCTTGCTGGTGAAACCGAGCATTACCTTGACGACAATCTCAACCCCGCCACCTGTGGGAGGAGGTGGGCATCCAATTCGTTCCTTGCCGACTCCTATCACTGCCTCTGTGCGTGGTTCCTGTTCCGCTTCCCTACCGACTCCCACTCTCGGTCATAGTATATACGTGACGTCCCCGAACGCTTTTCCAGTGCCCATTAATGGGCATGCTGTCCTCTCTCCCGTGGCCACCACGCCCACAAACATGATCAGCTGCGCCCAGCTGGATGAGGAGATTACGGCGGCTGCAGCCAGTGGGTCTGGAGATTTGTCTTCGGTGCAAAATCCTAGTTATCCGCCAACTGTACCGTACATGTTGACACACCAGCAGTCGCACCCGCAGCGGCTGCACTTAGTACCACCGACCAACAATGCACAGCCACCGCAGCCGCCGCAACCGGTCTTTTTCCACTTTGGCGACGGATACAACTCTGGAGGATCAGGGACCCCATCTGCTGTATGGTCGCATCCTGGGTCAGCCTGTTACCAGGCTTCATTTGGCTCAAGTGTCAGTAGTAGCTCTAACCACAGCAAGGATGTTTACTCCGCTGGCCTGCGTCCAGTCTCACCGGCGCTTTCGTCCTGCTCCCTGGGCAGTGACTCTCATTGGAGCTGCAGTAATCGCAGTCGGTACGTGATGGATAATCTTATCTGTGGTGAATGAAATAAAAAATTTTCTTTCATTCACAGCCTGGGTCAAGGAGACCTGTCGATTTCCGGCCAGTTGTCACCCCATCTGGTCGAGATATCTGGTCCACGGGCCCCTCTGCCGAAGCCAATATACCACTCTCCACTCCCTCAACCACCGCCACCCCCACCACTTTACCACACCCATTCCAGCGTACATGGGCCAATTAATGTGCATGGAATGCCCACTTATGGGACACTTCGCCCCCAGCCTCTCCAAGTATCATCGCCGACCCCGCCGGTTGGGGCCTTGGGTGCTTCGTGGTACGACCTAGTCCTACCCCCCGACCGTTACTTGGCTCAGGCCCGGAACATAGAAATCGTAACCCAGCCGGAGCAACTGGTTTGCCTGTGCAAGTACGACGACCTTTCGGTGGAGATCTGGAAAAGATTCCGGGATGCTCAGCAGACCCACAAGAAGTTCAAGGTTAAGATGCGGCTCTGGCGTTATCTATTTCTCTGGATGAATGTGAGTAAAATTTTTGCGATGCATAGTGGCCACTGGAACGATTAAATTTTGAATTTTGACAATTCTCGCAGCAGCCCATGTTCGAGCGGTATCGAATTTGCCTAGTTGGATCGACCATCACGGGCTTTGGCACAGACTCCTCCGACATCGACATGTGCCTCCTTCCGGAGCAGCTGACGCAACGCCCCCAATCCCAGCATCAAATGCAGCACCAGTTCCATAATGAAAAGCGCACCGATGCCCTGCTCATCCTGTCTTTGATTAATGTAGTTCTCAAGGACACTGGTAAGACTCATATTTTTTGTTGGCGGGCAGTTGTTTAATGGTTGTTTACAGAGGTATTCCAAGACTTTAATCTGATTGAGGCGAGAGTGCCGATCCTCCGATTTAAGGACACCCTTAATGGCATCGAAGTCGACCTTAATTTCAACAATTGTGTGGGCATTAAAAACACTTACCTGCTCCAACTTTATGCTCAACGTAAGTTGTAAACAAAGTTTTTTCTTTTTCTAGCGGAAAAAATAAAATCAGTCTTTGGTCGTATTTATTATGTAAGAAAAATCTAAAAGCCCATATAATATCCCAGAAAACTGTTAATTTGAAAAATTGTATTAGTAGTATACAAAAAATCCCAAGTTTCTATCTTCAAATATACCAAAGTTGGTATTTTTACCAAATACCATTTCCGACCGTTCAGTTGTATGACAGCTATAGGATATAGACGGCCGATCTTTATGAAAATAGGTACGTAGGATCAAAAAATAAAATCTGTTGAAAGTTCGTGGGTGGGTCGTATTGTTTTGTCAAATATAGAATCCAATCTTTAACTTAAACAAGAAAGGAAAGCTAACTTCGGGCGGAGCCGAAGTTTATATACCCTTGCAGTTAAAACCGGATATATATCGCAAACATCGGATATAGTTGGCCGATCCTTATGGGAATAGGAATATATAATCCAATATTTTACAATACAAAATCTAAAAAAAATCCCAAACTTCTATCTTCAAAAATACGAAAGTTGATATTTCTACCAAGTACCATTTCCGATCGTTCAGTTATATGGCAGCTTATAGGATATAGTCGGCCGATCCTAATGAAATTTGGTAGGTCGGATCAACTGACCAAATATATAATCTGTACCAAGTTCCAGCTTTCTATCTTCAAAAACACGAAAGTTGGGTCATTTCCGATCGTTCAGTTATATGGAAGCTATAGGATATAGTCGGCCGATCCTTACGAAATTTGGCATGTCGTATTATTTTGCCAAAAATAGCTCTCATGTCAAATTTGAACTCTCTAACTCTAAAAACACCAAAGTTATACCATTTCCGATCAATCAGTTATATGGCAGCTATAGGATATAGTCGGCCGATCCGGGCCGTTCCGACTTATATACTGCGTGCAAAGGAAAGAAGGGTGTGTGCAAAGTTTCAAGACGATAGCTTTAAAACTGAGAGACTAGTTTGCGTAGAAACAGACAGACGGACAGACAGACGGACAGACAGACGGACAGACAGACGGACAGACGGACAGACGGACATGCTCATATCAACTCAGGAGGTGATCCTGATCAAGAATATATATACTTTATAGGGTCGGAGATGTCTCCTTCACTGCGTTGCACACTTTTGACCAAAATTATAATACCCTCTGCAAGGGTATAAAAACACCAAAGTTATGGCATTTCCGATCAATCAGTTATATGGCAGCTATAGAATATAGTAAGCCGATCCCGTTCGTCTTGATACAGACTGACAGACAGACGGCCATGCTTATATATATATGCAAGGGTATACAGAAAGAAAGGCTGTGGGTGGAGGAGAGGAGTACCAGTTATCATATAGTTTGGAAGCTCGAGTATAGACATTTTGTGTTTTCCTTAATACTTAGTGGATTGGCGGACTCGGCCACTGGTGGTGATTGTAAAACTTTGGGCCCAGTACCACGACATCAACGACGCCAAACGGATGACCATTTCTAGCTACTCGCTGGTGCTAATGGTCCTGCACTATTTGCAGTACGGATGCATTCCACACGTTCTACCGTGTTTGCACAGCCTTTACCCGGAGAAGTTCCATCTTGATCAGCAGGACTGCCTTGACCTGGATCTCATTGAGCCGATCGAGCCGTACCAGACGCACAATACCCAGGCTCTTGGGGAGCATCTGCTTGGATTTTTTAAGTATTATAGCAACTTTGAGTGAGTACAGCCACTGATGTCTCAATATCTTAGATATATCCATATAAATTGACTTGCATTCTTTGTAGCTTCCGCAACTATGCGATCTCCATACGCACTGGAGGCGTTCTGCCCGTGTCTACTTGCAGGCTGGCTAAGAGCCAAAAAAACGACGTGTACCAATGGAAGGAGCTGAATATAGAGGAGCCCTTCGATCTATCCAACACGGCTCGCTCCGTTTATGACTATGCCACTTTCGAACGCGTCAAATACATATTCGTGACCTCCGGTCGCCGCTTGGAGCACACCCTGGACCTGGCTTCAATCTTTCGGCCAATTGCAAACGTTCACAACCATCACAACCATGTCCGCAGTAATCTGGATAGCAGGAGCCGTACCGTATCAGCTGACAGTACTAGTTCGGATATTCCTTTGGGTTTAGGTGAAGCGACAAGTCCACACGTTGCCTTCTAGGCCGAAATTTACATTTAAGATTGCAGACTGTAGTCACACTATAGGTGCTCCGTTAGGGTTAGTTGATAAAAAACGTCGCATGAAGTCACATAAGTTTTCAGGTACGTGTGCCGCTTCAATAAATTAAAAAAACAAATATTTCGACTCTAAATTCACGAAATGTTAAATGAATAAATTACCCTTGACAAATTTTTGTGTTCCCAAATCCGTCAAAAGAAAAATTGTAAATTGCTACCTTTTTTCACAATTTATACAACGTCAAGGTGCATTCGCAAAGTAAATTTTGTTTTATCTAAAACCCCTTTAATCATTGTAAACATCCACCCAGGTGAACGATTTTTGTCCCTCATGTGGTATGTATTTCTTTTTAAAAAGAGAATAATGTACTAAAAGTGTAAGCACCCAGGTTCTGTTCAATAAACTACAAATTCACACAATCGTATGCATTTATTCAATGATATTTAATAAAAATAATAATAATAATAATAAAATATAATATAAAAAATATAATATAATAATAATAATAATAATAATAATAAAATAAAATAATAAAATAAAATGTAATTCTCTATAAACATAGTTTTTTTATAAACAATTTACACGAAGTTGGCCGTATAAACTGGTTCAAAAAGGATGGATATTAATTTTAAATATATAGATACCATCGTACCTCCTTAGAAATAAAAAGTAATTTGTGGTCATGATAGTTATTGGTTTAATTTTTTTAATTTTTTTAAATTCGTGCTAATAATAATTCGAAATTTTAGACCAAACATGACAGGAAAACAAGAAAGGAAAGCTAACTTCGGGCGGAGCCGAAGTATATATACCCTTGCCGGATAAAACCAGATATATATCGCAAACATCGGATATAGTTGGCCGATCCTTATGAGAATATGATAATATAACCCAATTTATTATAATATAAAATCTAAAAAAGTCCCAAACTTCTATCTTCAAAAGTACCAAAGTTGGTATTTCTACCAAAAACCATTTCCGATCGTTCAGTTATATGGCAGCTACAAGATATAGTCAGCTGATCGTTATAAAATTTGGTAGGTTGGATCAACTGACCAAAAATACAATCTGTACTAAGTTTTTAGCTTTCTATCTTCAAAAACACCAGAGTTATACCATTTCCGATCAATCAGTTATATGGCAGCTATAGGATATAGTCGGCCGATCCCGGTCGTTCCGACTTATATACTGCGTGCAAAGGAAAGAAGGGTGTGTGCAAAGAAACAGACAGACAGACAGACGGACATGCTCATATCTACTCAGCAGGTGATCCTGATCAAGAAAATATATACTTTATAGGGTCGGAGATGTCTCCTTCACTGCGTTACACACTTTTGGACAAAATTATAATACCCTCTGCGAGGGTATAAAAAGACAGGAAAGGTATCTTCGGGAGAAGCTGACGTTGATGCACCCTTCCAGTTATGATCGGATATACATACATATGCAAATCGTTATGAGAATTATAAAAATTAAAAATAAATGATTAGAATACACAATTCGAAAAAAATTCCCAAGCTTCTTCAAAAATACCGAAGTTGGTATTTGAACCAAATGCCATTTTCGATCGTTCAGTTATATGGCAACTATGTATAAGATATAGTCGGCCGGTCGTTATGAAGTTTGGTAGGTCGGATCAACTGACTAAATATAGAATATGTACGAAGTTCCAACTTTCTGTCTACAAACACAAAACTTGACGGACCAACAGACATGCTCATATCAACTCAGGAGGTGTTCCTGATCAAGAATATATTTACTTTATAGGTTCGGAGACGTATCCTTCACTGCGTTTCACACTTTCGGACAAAATTATAATACCCTTTGCAAGGGTATAAACAAGTCCTAAGCTACTATCTACAAAAATGTTAATTTCCGATAGATTTCCGATCGTTCAGTTATATGACAGCTATGGGATATAGGCGGTCGATACTTATGAAATGGTAGGTAGGATCAAAGAAACAGACAGACAGACAGACAGACAGACGGACATGCTATTTCCGATATTTTAGTTATATTGCAGCTATAGGATATAGTCGGCCGATCCGGTCCATCTCTTCCCCCCACAATTTACCTAACCTTTAAATTTTAAACTTTACCGGTATAGATTCTCAGCAAAAATTCAATACCGATTCAGTAGGGAAGCAGAATAGGAAGTCTAAAACTCCTCTAAAAATTATTCGATTTGGCGGTTTATTGATTCGTAAGCCATTGGAACAGTTTGGCATCAAAACATTTTCCAAAAACATTAACGAAGTTTCCAAATTGAGTACATAGCTCTTTTAGATCCACGCATTCAAGATTTTAGCCTGTTTGTATGGGATTATGTCCGTTTGTATGTATGTAACTATAAAATAGTTTGGCGTCAAAAGTTTTTTAAAAAACCTTCCAGTACTGGCGCTATAAAAATTTGCAATTTGTGGAGCGAAAGGGGGTGTGGCAAAATTTTTTTAAACAAACTTGAACTGCGTGAGCATTTTAAGAGTCTCCATGATAAATCTTATAGCTCAATCTCTTATAGTCTAAGATCTATGAGCTCATACGGACAGACGGGCATGCCAATATCGACTCGGCTGTTGATCAATAATATATAAAGTTACTTTATGGGGTCGGAGATGGTTCCTTCTAGCTTCTCTTGAAAGCTTGATATAGAAATAGCCCCTGATTATGCGACACATATAATTTCGGGATTTGTTTTAAGTAGAGATGACAGCCGTGTAAAATAAGACCAGACTTTCACAAAAAGTAAACAAACCAATCAACGCGATGGATACAAAAAATTTGTTATTAACAATCGGCAAATAAGAACCGGAAAGTTAATTTCCAAAGATTTCTACTTTCTACTTCCTATATTCAATTTCACCTGAAATTGCCACCATTCGTTTATGCACACACGAATGGGCTGAAATCTAGAAATGAAAGTGTGAATTTGGCATCGCATAAACCTTTGTATTCTTTATCCAGAAGAGGATAAAGTCATTCCAAAATTGAAAACCAAAACAGGAAAGATATGATAACTTCAGGCGGAGCCGAAAATGATATATAATAAGATATATATAAGACATATATCAGATCGGATATGTTTCCTAAATATGAATGGGTGAATGGAATTGATCCATAAATTTCCTTTCAAAATAATTTCTTAAATTAAAAATTTAAAAAAAGTCCCAAACTTAAACACCAAAGTTGTAAAATAAAATACACTTTTTCATTGAATATTCAGATTGTATATTACCAGTTTGTAGCAAACTTACAAACCCTCCTAATTAACTCACTAAGTCTTCATCACTCTGTCTAAGTCATTAATCATCAGTGTGTACCTTCGTCAGACGCACCCGAGAATGTCCGATCTTTTTCTTACCCCTCTGATCTGATCCTTTATCTAGGGCAGGCAACCATACGTATGCATATACGAAGTAAAGTCAGTTTTCTGGGTATCCCCCAGTATCTTCATCTGCCGCGCTCTAATAAATCCCAAAATCTATTGGGCTTTTATAATGTTTACTTTCCCAATAAAACAATTTTTTTTTTGCATATGATCTTCCAAAAAATCATTGCAAGTGTTGAAATAAGCTCGGTACGGGTTTCTTCTGGATGCTAAGTGTATGAATTATATAGTTTTGTTTATTTTAAATAAAATGGAAATAAAGTTCATGATCCAAGAATAGGCACATTTACTCAAACCCAATATAATTCATTCAGTATTCATGCCAAGATATAAAAACATTTTCACGAGGGAAAATAAAAATTCTTTATTCAGAATTTCAAACAAAAAAAAACCATATCTCTTTTGATTCAAAGTGTCGCGTGGGGAAAAATAATCGCACCATTAGAAAAAATATACAGTTTCCACATCGTTTTAAAAACAATTAACACACTGCTGTAACTGCATTTATATATTTCTGTACTGATCGTGACCCCAAATCCGGCAATCCGGTTGTGGTATGTGTGTGGTGTGTCAGTGAATAATGGGTGGTTTTAAGGGTGGTAGGTAAGGTGAAAGATCACAACGCGTTTCTTCTATTTTTTTTTTTCATTTTTCAAATTTTTTTTTCGGTGGAACGATGCAGCCGCTGTGGGCCATAACGTTCCAATGCGATTTTCCCCATCTTATGTTTGGGTTAATTTTTTTGCTTTTTCATTTAGTTGTGGTTTTTTTTGTGGTTTGTTTTGAGTAACAAATGCTAAAAGACAGTTTAGGGTCGATCTAAGTAAACCGTTCGGGGAAAAAAACTCGAAAACTGGAGCTGAAGATTGGCTGCATCAATGATGCTCGAGACCAGAAGCCACTTGGTAAATTCGTATTCTGTGCGGGAGTATTTGTCTCTGCGGTTCCAGTTGGTGCGTTTGGCTGCCAAAACAAACGAAACTCGATGGGTCCATGGGGCGTCGTTTTCCACCAGCTGGTTGATCCGTGAGCACTCACTCCACTGGAGCATACTTGTGGGCTAGTTGCGCGTCCATGTCTATATGGCGTTTTGGCTCGGCGTTTCGTTTGGGAAACGTTGCCGCAGGGGCTGGACTGGAATGCGGCTGCGGCTGCACTGCATCCTGGCAGCCCTCATTGAGAGATATTCGTGACCGCTACATACCCCACTTCGCACTTTTAATGTCCCAATATCTCCTAGACTCAGTCTCTGTTCACTCTTTCTCCACCTGCTGTCTCTATCCCATCCCGTTGGTGTCTAGTGTCCCACTCGTTTCCGTGTTCATAAGAATCGCTGTCTCCCGTACGCGTCTATTTTCTCTGTTCTGCTGCCTACTGATGCTGCTCCTTGATGATGACTTCAAAGTTGAGTTGTTATAAATTTTCGTTTGTTGGGTTGCTTTTGTAATCGTTTGTAGTTAGTGTTCCTCAAGTCGGGTTCTCAATACGGCTGCGAGAATTGGTTCAAACTGCGTTCGCCGGACTGAAAATTAGAGATTAGAGACTATTATTTTAACAAGTAGACGGAGACACACTCACCACATTAAAAGCCACATCTTGGGAGAGCAAGCCGTCCATCTGGGAGATCTGCCCATAGTCCTGCGACAACTCAGGCTGCTGGGAAAGAGCGAATCCACCTGGCTGGGTCATCTGCAGCGACAGTGGTGCCGGCTGTTGGCTGAAGGGCGTGACGGATGCACCGGCCATTCCACCGATTCCTCCTCCTCCTTGTCCGGTTCCTCTTGATTTCATCGGTTTCTGGGACTTCTTGTTGCCTCCCATTGAACCGCTACCGGCTCCCATGCCGCCGATGAAATTACCTCCCGGCTGATGTATGGCCCGGTTCTGCTTGGCGGCCATAATAGCCTGCTGGTGTTGGTTGTAGAATCGTGGCGGATGGTTGCTCATGTTCATGAACATTCCCACGGGCACGGGCATGTTGCCCAGAGCCGCTGCGCCGTGCTCATTGGATATGTAGCCGATGGAGTCGTGGTGCAGTTGGGCAGCCGCCCAACTGGTGCCGGCGTTTGACGCACCATAGTTGTTGTTGCCACTAGCAGCGGCACCTCCGCCACCCCCCAAACCAAAACTCATGATGGAACCGGAAGTAGGGGCGCCGTATCCAAGGGGAGAACTGCCATAGGGGGCGCTGCTGGCCCCGTATTGACCGCCGTTGACCGCCTGGTTGAGGAGCTGTCGACTTTGGTTGTGGCTGTAGCCAGTGCCCCCGCTTCGGTCGTAAATAGAGCCAGGCACCATCACTTCCTTGGCGTCGGCAATCATGGTGGTCATAAAATGGGCGCCGATGTTGAGGTTGTTAACCAGCTTCTTGGGCTTCTGGAAATGAATGAGAGACTCCTTGAGATTATTTAAGGACCCCTCCACGAGCACTTTGCGGTCCTTGTAAAAGTTAAGAAGATGGTTCCACAGCTGCTGCTTGGCTAGAACCTTGGGGTTGCCCACGATGATGATGCCGTACTTGGCGCGAGTGAGTGCCACGTTAAGGCGACGCGGGTCGTTCAGGAAGCCGATTCCTTGCCGCTCATTGGAGCGCACGCACGACATGATGATGATGTCCTTCTCGCGACCCTGGAACGCGTCGACGCTGGCGATTTCAATCTCTTGGTAGAGCCGCGAGTGAAGGCTGCCCTGGTACTGCATGTACTGAACGAGATATGCCCTTTGGCCCTCGTATGGTGTTATGATACCAATCTGCTCTGGCTTGATGCCTGCCTTTAGGAACCGAGTAGTGATCTTCTCTACGTTGGCCGCCTCTGTGCGATTGAGAAAAGATGTGCCAGAGCCGGCGATCTCTTCCTGGCCCTGTGTCACCAGGAAGAACATGGGCCTCTCCGGTTGCGGCCACGGGAAATCCAGCTTAAGCCGACGATCCTCAGCGCACACGCCGTTTTGCAGTGATCCTTCGTAGAAAAAGTTGGACGGAAACTGAGACAGTTCAGGGTGCATGCGGTATTGAACCTCCAGTCGGAAGGGTCGGATGCCCAGCACCACCAAGCGCTCAAACAGGCTCTGAGAGAGTCCAGCGCGAGCCGCCTTTTTGCACATTACCACCGGTCCCAGCTGGCAGTGATCACCCACGAGGATTAGCTGTTTGGCCCCCAGCACCACTGGGACCATGCACTCGGGCTCCGTGGACTGCATCGACTCGTCAATAAGGATGGAGGTGAACTTGATGCGAGAAAGGCGCCCATCGCCGGCACCCACGCACGTGCAACAGATGACGTCGGCCGCTTCCAGCAGCTGGTTTTCGGTTCCGCGTTTCAAGCTGCGGTAACGTTTTTCATCCGCCGAGCTCAGCTCACCAGTTTCGTCCTTCAGTTGCTGCAGCTTCTTCAACTCCGAGTTTGTCTCCATGTTGCGGATTTGGTTATGCAGGGCCAGAAAGCTCACAGGGCTGTCGATGGCTTCACGACTCTTGGCGCAAACTCGCACCACTTTCAAATTTGTCCTATGGATCTTCTCAGTGAGCTGGTCGACGGCCGTGTTGCTGGGAGCGCACACAAGCACGGTGCCTCCGTGTTGCTTTACCAACTGGTACACAATGGTGGCCGAGGTAACCGTTTTTCCCGTGCCGGGCGGGCCCTGGATCAGCGAGAGGGGACGCTGAAGCGCATGCTTCACGGCGTAGACCTGACTGCGATTGAGGTCTGGCAGATGCGGAGCACTGTACAACTTCGGCTGAGGGCCACGGAAAAGAACCTCGTCGTTGGCATCGGGTCGGCCGTGACCGAGCAGGCGAGAATATATGTAGTTGGAGACTGAGTTGCGGTCCATGGCGAAGTTGCGCAAAGCGCGAGACATGCGGTCAAACGAAGTGCACTTCCAAATGAAATCCACAGAGAAGTTACTTGTGCATTTCACCGGCGCATTCGAAGAGGTCTTCAGCTCCAGGCCGACATCATCTCCAAAGTTATCTGGCACTTTAATCACATGTCCGATTTCGCTCCACGGGTTGTAGAGCTCGCCCACGTACCGCAACCGGAGTTCGTCACCGTGCATCAGCTTCATATCAGAGTCGGTCTTGGCCAAGGTAAAGTATGCGATGGTCTTCTTGTTGAGACCTACGTCCCAGCGCACCTCGATGTTCTCCTGCGTTGCAGACTCCTTTAACTTTTTGTCGTAATCGGCCTCGAGCCGCACTAGCGGACCGAAGGTTTTCTCATATTGGTAACCGTCTTCGTAGCGCAGCAGTACCTGAGCCGGTTCCGAATCTATGCCTGGCTTTTCCAAGTCCTGGAATGTAGCCTCGATGTTATCCTTCCACAGCTCCTCTAGCTTGTTTATCTGTGCCGCCGAGATTTGGCGCGCCCGCAGCTGGCCTTGCTCACTAGGCTGCTTTACTAGCCACGGAAGAAAGCAGCGGTCCGTGATCAGAGGCTTCCACTGCTCCTGGTCCCAGTTCATATCCTTTAACGAATTTTGGGCGGCACACGGCTGGCGGCACAGAAGTACCACCACCGAGTCTGCCTTGGCCGGGATAAAGCCCAGTACGAAAACGTTTCGTACGCCGCACGAGTAGCACTCGAGAATTGTCTCGCCCAGCGGGCCATCACCGTGAAGAGTCACTTCACGATGCTTGGCTCGCACCAGATGGTTTATGATATGCGATCCGGAAGTGCTTCCGCGTCCGTTGCAGAACCACTTCTTGCAGTTGTTGCACATCACAACCGTGGCAGGGTCGTGAATTCCGCAGTACTTGCATGCATGTGCTGGCAGCTCCTTAACGTATGAACTGCCGGCCTCGTCGTCCTCCTCCTCGAACTGCAGGTCCCCCAGATCGTTGGTGATGCTGGCAATTCGAGGGTGTGAATCGCCACCAGAGCGGCGCGGCTAAGTGAATCAGGAAAGGCAATATTTCTATAAGAGTAATGAAAATGAAGAATGGCAGGTAAAACTTACGTGCAGCTCAAGCTGTTCGCCTTGCGTCTGGCTCTGAGAAGTGGACGGCATAGTGAAGTCACGGTAGTCATACTGCGTCGGCTGCGTGTCCGCTCCCGGCAGCAGCTCATTCTCGTCCATGTCCAGGAACGAGAGCGTCGAGCTCGGCGCATACGTGTCCACGCTCATCACGCCTCAGCCACAGTCAGCTTCTTTTTAGAGGCAATTCTTTGTAATTTGTATTATCGGTAATTTGGTGCCTGGATCGGCAGAATGCTGACCTGCCAACTAGTTAACAGGCTAACTTGAGCTTTTCGACTTGTTGCCTTGCCCGCGCGGCACTATTCTTGACGCTATGATGGGCCGATTTAATACTTCTGTAACTCTTAAGAAATACGGCGATACAAGTGGCAGCAGATAGACTGGGGAAAATGTTTTGCGCGTGAAATGATCCCGAGTGTTTAGACAATTCGGGGCACGTTCAGCGTGCAGTGTGCCAGATTTTGGATGACGATGCTTCTTATTCACCGACTTTCGTACTGTTCCAAAATCAACTGAGTCTGAAATTACTGAGCTCCGTATTATGCTGCCACAATAACAGTAAAAAACAGCCTGCTGTGGTGGCTTTTTATTGTTTTGTTTGTTGCGCCTGCTGAGTGGGCCCACTTCGATTAACGGGCTCGGAAACGTGCAACTATGTGTGCTTCTATCGATGTCTTTTACCGAATAGGGCTGCCACACCGACAAAAATGTGGGCGCAATTTGAATGCGTAAATTTTACTTGTACTAAAAAATAGGATGCCAACTCAGGCTCAATTCGCCAGTTTTTAATTCAAACTTTTATTCCTATCAAATATTAAAAATATCTAACTATACATTTAATAATGGTGCCAAATTTTGGGTATTAATTTCAAGTGACCTGCAAAACATTAAAAAACTTTCTTCAACACATCTTTTTATTATAATTTTGATTTTTATAAATAGTTGGACTTAAAACATAGTAGTGAGTTGACGAAAATCCGCTGTCGAACGAGTTACAGCTGTAGTATGCACATATATTGAATACCCACTGTACCGAGAGTACTTAAAGGGTGCGCAAACTCCATATAAAAAAAACGGTGTAAAAAAAAGAAGAAGAAGAAATTTTTGCCTTCTAGATTTTGCGGGTACTGAGTTGACGAAAATTTTTGTTATCGATTTTAATGGTGTTGCCGGATCAAAAAAAATAAACAGCTGATCGGGGAGTTAATAGATATAATTGCATTTATTTCTATAGGTGTGACATGGAGGGTCAATTGATCAAACAAATAAATAGTCGGCCCGAAAAATTTTTGACGCGCCAGGAGAAATTAAAATTAATTTCTGCGGTCAAGGCGAAGCCCATAATATGGGATTTGACCCACAAGGGGAATTTTAATTCCATAAAATGGCATTGAAATGATTTATGATTGATTTTGATTTTGACCCAGTTTTCTATTTCTATTTAATCAGCTCCTTAGCGGCGAAATACATAAACAAAACACCAACATCCAATTGATTTGAATTCATTTTTGCTTATTTGTTTTTTGTTTACAAACAACAGCTGTTCAGTATTACCTTATTTTTTAATTTTTTTGGTCACACTAGCTCGGTAGCTGAATAAAGTGCGATATCGTTATCGGATTTTCAACGGCGGATTTTCGTCAACTCAGTACTAGGCTTTAAAGGTTACTTGGAACAAAAATTAGAACAACAAAGCGTTGCACACTTTTGGATAAAATTATAATACCCTCTACCCTCTACAATTAAAACATTTTTTTCAAAATTTTGGTAAAAAAATTTTACTTGGAATGTCAAAAAAAATCTAACCAACTTGATTAGAGCATAAGTGAGACGCCCAAAAACTACAGATTTCAAACCGAATCATACAAAAAGCCGATTAAGCATGGTGGAGGAAATATCATGCTATGGGGATGCTTCTCCTCTGGAGTTGGTCCGATATTCCGTATTAATGACAAAATGTGTGCTCCACAATACCTTGGTATACTCAAGAATGTGATGCTGCCATTTTCCGAAGAAGAAATTTCTTCGGAAGAAGAAATTGGTAAATTCTATGCATCGTCGGTGCATTGCAGTTATAAAATATAATGGCTGTACCACTAAATATTAGCTAAAACCATGTTTCGATTGCAAAATTTGGGAAAACACCTTTTATTGATGAATTTATCCATTTTGTTTCTATTATTTTTTCCAAGGAGAGCAAATTGTATTAATTTTTTGTTGTCCTTAGCTAGTTTGAAAAAATTTTTTTGTTCATTTTTATAATACATACTATAATATATGTTTGAAAACAAATTGAATAAATATCTGTTACAGTTCTTAAGAAAAAAAGGAAACAAGAAAGGAAAGCTAACTTCGGGCGGAGCCGAAGTTGATATACCCTTGCAGTTTAAACCGGATATATATCGCGAACATCGGATATAGTTGGCCGATCCTTATGAGAATATGATAATATAACCCAATTTATTATAATACAAAATCTAAAAAAAAGTCCCAAACTTCTATCTTCAAAAATACCAAAGTTGGTATTTCTACCAAATACCATTTCCGATCGTTCAGATATATGGCAGCTATAAGATATAGTCAGCCAATCGTTATGAAATATATAATCTGTACTAAGTTCCAGCTTTCTATCTTCATAAACACGAAAGTTGGGTCATTTCCGATCGTTCCGTTATATGGCAGCTATAGGATATAATCGGCCGATCCTCATGAAATTAGGCATGTCGTAATGTTTTGCCAAAAATAGCTCACGTTAAATTGGAACTGTCTAACTCTAAAAACACCAAAGTTATACCATTTCTGATCAATCAGTTATATGGCAGCTATAAGATATCGTGGGCCGATCCCGGCCGGTCCGACTTATATAACTGAACGATCGGTTCCTAATTTATATAACTGAACGATCGGCCATATAACTGGAATTTTCGATTTTGGAAACTTTGGAATTTTTGAAGATAGAAGCTTGGGACTTTGTTTTAGCTTTATTTTAATAAAATGGTTATATTATGATATTCTCATGAGGATCGACCAACTATATCCGATGTTTCCTGTTTTAACTGCAGGGTATATCAACTACGACTCCGCCTGAAGCTAACTTTCCTTTCTTTTTATACCCTTGCAGAGGGTATTATAATTTTGTCCAAAAGTGTGCAACGCAGTGAAGGAGACATCTCCGACCCTATAAAGTATATATATTCTTGATTAGGATCACCTCCTAAGTTGATATGAGCATGTCCGTCTGTCCGTCTGTCTGTCTGTCTGTTTCTTTGCACACACCCTTCTTTCCTTTGCACCCAGTAGATAAGTCGGAACGGCCCGGATCGGCCGACTATATCCTATAGCTGTCATATAACTGATAGATCGGAAATGGTATAACTTTGGTGTTTTTTAAATTAGAGAGTTCAAATTTTACAAGAGAGCTATTTTTGGCAAAATAATACGGCATGCCAAAGGATCGGTGGACTATATCCTATAGCTGCCATGTAGCTGAACGATCGAAAATGACCAAACTTTCGTGTTTTTGAAGATAGAAAACTGAAACTTCTAATAAATTGGGTTATATTATCATATTCTCATAAGGATCGGCCAACTATATCCGATGTTTGCGATATATATCCGGTTTAAACTGCAAGGGTATACCAACTTCGGCACCGCCCGAAGTTAGCTTTCCTTTCTTGTTTTTTTTTTTTAATTTTTTTCATGGCTTCACTGAAAAATAGAGTATTTTTTATGCTGCCCCAGCATTTTTTTTGTTAGAGTACCCTTTAAAACAGTCTTTCAGAATATAAAAATGTATATGTTAATGTGTATGTATGATTGATTACTGAAACGTTTTATGCTTTAAATTTTAAAGTTAAAATTTTAAAGTTTAAAATATAAATGAATACCTTTGTAGAAATAAGATTACTACAAAAAAAAATTTAAATAAGTCAATACTTTTAATATTCATTTCGATAGGATTAATTATAGTTGTATGTAAGGGTACAAACGATTCTGCCCCAAATTCGGACGATGTTATAAAGCGTCTCCATATCCGATGTCAACTTTATTGCAACATAAATACATACATACTTATATTTTTACTTATATGTTTGTACATATATGTACATATATATGTATGTATGTATGTATGTATGTACATATACAGTCAGCAAAGAAATTATTCGGACACTGAAATATACTTATATAACGGCTTATTTCTGGGGAAAAAAAAATTTTTTGGCAGTGTTTTTATTTTTTTCTATTAAAAACTGATTTTTAAAAACATATTATTAAGTAAAAATTTAATTATTTTTATTGTGTACATAAATATAAAAAGAAAAGCAAAACAAGGGCTTAAAATTCGGCAAAAAAATTATTCGTACGCCTTCAAGATTATCTGTTTTCTTTGTGAATACAACGGTAATCAGCATTTTTACTTTACTTAGGAAATTCGTAAATTTAATCTAAGTAAATCGGAAATTTACTTAGAAATACTTCGATCTAAAAAAAATACGTGCGTTTTTTTATGCTATGCTTTACTTTTGCTTTCGAATTATTAATAAAAAAAAAGTGTATGTTAACGGATGTCCGAATAATTTCTGTGCTGACTGTATATTACTGAAATTCAAAGCGAAGCATTCCTTGAACATATTTATCCTCAAAACGTGTCTGAAGTTTAAACGAAGCAGAACCAAAGTTTTGTATTGTGTTAATTTTAAAATATTTTATAGAATAAAAAAAGGTATACGAAAATTGAAAAGAAAACGTAGTGTTAAGTAGTGAAATGAATAATAATTTTGTTAGGAATTTTTAATAAATTCTTTGGTTCAAGAAAATATATATGTTTGCATGTGTTTTTCATTAAAAAAAAGGGCAGAAAACACTACAATTTTTTGTCAGTATTAAAAGCAGAGTTCAAGATAAAATATCCTACTCATATTTAACTTCTTTGAGTTAAAGAGTTACACTTTAGTTAAAGTGAAGTTTACACATAGAGTCTATACTTGTATATGTACATATGTATATTGTATATTATAGAGCCTATATACATATGTATGTATATTATATATCAAGCGGTCGCCGAAGAAATTTGATTAAAATTGGAAAGCTATAAAAATAAATTCAGAGGCTTCGAAATTGATATGTATATGCTTACAAAACAAATTATATACATATGTACAAATTTCTCTATTTTTGAAGATATTAAAATTTTTGAAAAAATTTGAAACAGACTTGAACAGAATTATAGGAGTCTCCATGCCAAATCCTCTATCTTCTCTATCTCTTATAGTCTCTGAGATCCACGCGTTCATACGGAAAGACGGACAGACGCACGGACGGACATGGTTTTATCGACTCGGCTGTTAATGCTGGTCAAGAATATACATACATACTTTATGTTACATACATTTATACGACTACAATATACCCTTGTACTTTTCGAGTACCGGGCGTAAAAAGTAATCACTGGCATTTTCACTGCCAGCTATGGCTTAATGTAACTATGGAAAAAAAGGGTTTGAAACTGTGGCCATGACCGCAGTTAGCTTTTTTTTTTTTTACATTTTTAATAAAGTGCCTATTTTATTTGTATTTTATTTACAGCACGAAAAAAACATGTGATACAGCACGTAAATTTAAAAAAAATTTAGTCTTCAAATGATGACTAAAATTATAATAACACGGAAAACATTCTGGACT